AAGCCACTTTGACAGACTTTGCTTACATCTTTATGATTGAATTAAAAACCAGTGGAATTCCCTTTTAAACATATGCAGGTTCTAAATATGGACCAGGGAATGTCAAGACTGCTTTGATTTTAATCTCTGACTGAAAGTAACTGCCAGATACTCAGTGGAAGTGAGAGGCTTCTCCATATGTGGGATTTTTTCTCCTTCATATCTAACTTTTTCCTTTGTCACCATGCACTCTTACATGACCAATAGGTGCACCAGAATGCAAACTAGAATGGTATGTTGATTACTATTTTTAGAATTAGTACCATAAGGAAATCTCATATATGGCAATATATGGGTTTCAAATATATGACACATTAGCATATGCGGATTTCCCTTATGTCCAACGTACATTAGTCAAATATGGACATACATGTGACATATATGTCAACTTATTTTCAAATATGGGGGATATAGGGTGTTTTCTGCCTTCTACTCAATGACCACTGGGATAGGCTCCAGCACCCCCCGTGGCCCAGAAGGATAAGCCGTGTGTGTGTGTGTGTGTATTTATTTGTAACACATATTTAACAATGTATGATAGAAAACATCGAATGAGTTAATTATAATTAGCGAGCAAAGTGGGTTTAGCCAAATTTAACACTTTAGCCATAAAATGACAAAAAGCCAACAAATTGACTAATTGTGGTTATTATAAATAGTTCCAGTTTTCTCTCCAGTAGGTGGAAAAATAAACTTGAACTAAAACTCAAACTGTAAATTTGATTGGTTCCCGTTAGGGTCAGTTCTTGTTTTTGAATGTGCAATGGAAAAACGGCCAATGTGGCTAGTGAATGGAAGCACTCGGCAGGTGTTTCTGATAAAGTGGATGGTGAATATATAGTATTAAGCACTGATATAAAACTTATACATAGAGTACATATGAAATGCCAGTGCACAAGGAGCAGAAGGGGATTATTACATAGAGCATTACTCACATTAGCACCTATTAGCACCTTCTACCTGCAAGGTTTCAGCAAAGCGACTTCCATCTGTATTTAAAGATCTTCCGCTTAATTCCTCCATTCACTCCATATAATTCCTCTATAAAACTGCTTACAAGGTTGACAAAGCGAGAAATTTGCAGAGGCCTTTCTGCCTCAGAGCCCTTTGCTCTTTTTAATGGAGCTTTTTGCTGCAGTATGTTATAAAATGGCTCCCAAGTCTCTTGACGCATAGCACATTATATCAACTGCACCTGGGTCCTGCTCTGACACCGTGAACTCACACAGAGCGCAGAGCTGCTCCTGTACTTCAGACAGCCTGTCGTCATTTCTGCTAGCGGTTTGGCTGAAAGTCATGTTTGGGAACACAAGGTTGTGTATGTTGGGGGAGGGTCTGTATGTGGCTGCACTTTTCAGCATCCCCCACTGGCCACATTTCTCTCTCTATTGCTTATTAGAATCTATAATGTAGCTTTGTCTTGGGTCTCTGAAGCTGAAAAGGCCCACTATGACACTGGGCCCTAACTTTTCCTGTTTAGTGTATCTTTTACCAGTAGTCTGTATGTTACACTATAAAGAATGTCTGTAATTTCTAGAATTATGTACTCTGTTCAAACCAATATCATACACTATATGGCCAAAAGTGTGTGGACACCCCTCCTAATAGTTGTTTCAGCCACACAGCCACACCCATTGCTAACAGGTGTATAAAATCAAGCACATAGCCATGCAATCTCCATAGACAAACATTGGCAGTAGAATTGGTCGTACTGATGAGCTCAGTGACTTAGCACTGTAACAAACATTGCACTGTTTTAGGGTGCCACCTTTAGCACATTTCTGTCCTGCCACTCAAGTATTACTGTAACAATACTGTAATAATACATCAAAGCATACAGTTTCATCAGCTTTACTGTAAAACAAGGCACCAGAAGTACTTTTAAGAAGGATCATTATCTTCACTGCTATTTCATTTAGTTTCTCAGATTCCATTATTTAAATGTTATAAGAGATAGCTAAGGTAATGTTATGTAACATTAGCCTAGCTAGTTAATGTGAGCTAGCAATAATAACAAGCTAGCTTACCTAGCACAGCATATACCAACATAAAATAAAGCGTCAGATATTCAAGTGAGTTTGTGTTTGGTCATATATGTCATTATGTAGCAGACTTTCATATAGAAACTTTCACTCTGCATGTATTTGTCTTTTATAAGCATCTGATCATTACTATACTATTTAGGCTTCATGGGACTTGCAGTGTCATGCTATTTGTTGGGTACAGCTCTAGTTTCAACACTTGTAAGCTTGTAAGACATGCATGTAAAATATTTTACTTTGTATATTGCAGTTTTTGATTGAACCCTTTAGTAAATCCTTCAACGTAAGCCTAACTGTGAATGTTAGTGGAGGCTGCTAGCTTTTGAAAGAAAAGCTGTTTGTATTTTTGAAAAGTAAATGAATTGATTCTTTTTTTGAATCTTTAAAAAGCATTTAAGACACAATTTAACAGCAATTTTAAAACTGCTATTTTTAACACTTTCATTTCCTAATATCTGTGTTCATCTATATTCAGAAATGAGGATATGATGATAGATATCCTATATATCAGGGGTGCACAACTCTAGTCCTGGAAGGCTGATGTCCAGCATGGTTTGGTAGTTTCCCTACTCAGACACTCCCACTAAACCTGGCAATTAACAGATGAGTTGACTGAGGTGTGTTTGAGCAGGTAAATCCCAAACTGCTGGACACTCCTGTAAAAATACAGTTTACTGCATTTATAAATACAGTACAATGTCATTATTGTAAATAAACATGATACAACAAGTACTGTAAACATTATTTACAGTAACTATAAGGTATAGGGATGTAACGATATGCAAATTTTTCTCTTGTCATTTTTGCATCACAATACTTTTTTTTTTTGGCAATTCCCCCAATTTTTGTTTTCCACTGTTGTCTCTAAAAACAACAGCGCTTGTAACAACTGGCACAAGTAGTTTTCTTAGAAGCCATAAATTAAATAAAAAGGATATGAACAAAAGTACAATATCTATGAAAATATAAACAAAAGTGTGTGGATTACATCTCAAAGATAAATGAACTGAGCATTACAAATTCATTTACAATCTGATCTTGTGTTTGTATATTCAGTGTGGCTGTTTCCATCTATGGAAAGAGTGTGAGAGGGGATTTTCTGACCTGGTTCAATCACTCCAAGCAAACTACAGAATCCACAACTGAATGGAGATGAACTCTACAGCCAAATAGAGTTGGACTCTACAACAGAATAGATGAACTCTACAGCCAAATAGAGTTGGACTCTACAACCGAATAGATGGACTCTACAGCCTAACAGAGATGGACTCTACAGATGAATAGAGGTGGAATCACTTAGCCAATACTTGAACCCTGTGGGGAGACGTAGCTGCTGAGACTACAGAGGTTTTTATCTTTCCTATGTTTTACTTATATTCTTGTCTAAAGCACACTGAGATTTTGAAACTAAAATACAGATAATTAACCTTTAATTATTAATTATTCCTACTATTAGTAATAGTAGGAACAATTAATATCTAATTACACCATGCTTTTGTTATCACCAACTTTTTAAGGGTTAAAATATGATGTGCGTCAAAACAGGGAGAACACTAAAATGTGCAGGGGAGTGCGACTCTAGGACCAGCGTGTTGGGAACCTTTGGCCTAGTAGAATAATCAACACGTCATCATCATTAGGCCAAATGTGAACAGAAGGGTAATGAGAGGAGACACACTGATGAGAATGTGCTGCTTCATCAGTGGCAACAATGTCCACAGGGACTGTACATCTCTCTGCCCAATACAGTACATCAGTTCAGACACACTCAGTGTCCTGATAAAGGTTCTGCGCTGGATCACTCTTGTGTCATTGTGTTTTGTCAGCAGTCTCTGTGCTGGGTTACCTGTTTTAACCATGCCAATGCCATTTCAACACACGCAGAACTGACAGAGCTCTGCAGACATCAGCAAATTGGAACCATCTGAATCGCTTCAAAGTGGTGGCTCTTGATTTCAATTGTCTTTCTTTGTCAGAGGGCAGATTGACAGACTGAATGAAAGAAGCCCCCTGAGACACCTTGTTTACAAGAAGCAGCTGTCTCCATGGTTACTGTATACCATACATAAGGGAAGAGTAAACCACGCAGGATGTTTTGACTGAATTATTTACTCTTATTTAAGAACGTGTACACACACATGCAGTCTTCATCCTTTTCTCTCTTCCTGTTTCTCTCCTTCTGTTCTCTCTCTCCCTTCTATTCTTTCTCTCCATCCCTTCTCTCTGTCTCTTTCTCTTCTCTCCCTCCCCAGTCTTTCTTTCTCTCTCCCTATTCTCTGTCTCCCTCTATTCTCTTTACCTGTTTGTCTCTCTTTCTAAACTCTCTCACCCTCTTCTATCTCCTTCTCTCTCATTCCTTCTCTCTTCTCTCTCCTTCTACTCTCCCTCTCTTCTCTCTCTCACCCTCTTTTCTTTCCTTCTCCTCTCCCTCTCTTCTCTTGCCTTCTATTTTCCCTCTCCCTCTCTTCTCTCAGTTGCTTTCCCTCTTCTTTCTCTCTTTCTTCTCTGTTTCTCTCCCTCTCTTCTTTCTCTTCTGTTTCTCTTTTCTTTTCTCTCTTCCTCTCCTGCTCTTCTCCCTCTGTCTGCCTGTTTGTCTCTCTCTCTCTCGTCTGTTCTCTCCTCCTATTTTCCCTCTCTCTTATCTCTGTTATTCTCTCTCTTCTCTCTCCCCCTCTTCTTTTTCTTTCTTCTGTTTCTTTTTTCTCCCTTCCTCTCCTGCTCTTCTTCCTTTGTTTGCCCCTGTCTGTCTGTCTGTCTCTCTCTCTTCATCTATTCTCTCCCTCTTTTCTCTCTCTCTTTCACTTCTCTCTTTCTTTTTCCTTCTCTCTCTGTCTGTCTCCATCTCTCTTTCTGTTTCTCACTCTGCCTCTCACTGTCTCTCCCTCTATCCTTCTCTTCTTTCTCTCCCTTTCCCTTTTGTCTCTGTTTCTTTCCCTCTGGTAATGTTTCTCTTTCTCTCTCTCTCTCTTTTCTCCTTCTCTCCCTCTCTATCTGTTTCTCTCTCTCTCTCCTGTGTATATCAGAGCGTATGATGAAGAGAGCTGTAAATAGAGCAGTAGCTGGATTGTGTAATGCACTTCTCTGTTCCTGTGTTTAACTTCACAGTACTCAATCGATAACCCTCCAAGCGCTAGAGAGAGTGAGAGAGAGAAAGAGAGAGAGAGAGAAATGACTAGAAATGACTCAGAAGATGAACGAGCTCTCAACACTGCGTCCTGATAGAGGCCCATAAACACTGCGCTCCATTACCACGCACACAGGGAGGTACAGGCCTACAGATCTGAGGGGGATGACCAAGAAAGGTCCAGTAATAACACTGCTTAAGAAAAGGAATCTATCTTGAACGCCCAAATTTAGACATTCTGTGTAATTCATGTGAATTAAAAGTCTCAGGCAAACGCCTTTCATCATTTATAGACACTTAGACACAGAGGAGGCAGCCTGTCTTAGGTTGGGTCATTTATATAGACTTTAGTGATAATATCTGAAGCCTGTCTTAACCCTTCACAAGGCCAGGCTGAGCTGGACAAAATGATCTTCAAATGCGGTGCCCCACACTTATTATATAACATTACATAACCCAAAAATGTTCACTTTTTCTCATCGTAAATATCTGCCCACTGTGTTTTTATCCAGTAGACTTTTCACTCATCTACAGCTTCACGTTCAAAGACCCTTTCCCTTCAGGTGACCTTGCTTTGGCTCTCTAAGTTCAGGTTGGAGCATTTCTTAATATGGAAGTCAAACAAATGCACTTGTAATACTTGTAAATAAAGTCCTTTCTCACAAAATATGGAAGTCATGTGTTTTATTTTCTTACAAGGGCATTTATTAGCCTTTGTGGTGATTATATATATATATATATGTACTCATTTTACATTATTCTTGTAAAAATTCTTGTATCTATGCAAGTTCAGAGCATGTGCCCTATATATTTATATATATATATAATATATGTACATGAGCAAATACACATCTGCTTTTACATTGGCATGAATATCTGCACATACCTGAGCGGAACTGAACACAGGCTCCTCTGATATAGGCCTCCTGATTAATTAGTACGGCTATAGGGACACAAACCCTCTTCCTTTCATATTTTACCACCCAGAAAAAAAAAAAACATCCGTGTCCTAAAGGAAAAAAAAACAGTAGTTCAACCTGCAGTTCATATTAGAAGCAGGCGGTTAGCTAATGCTCTTTAAGGATATGCAAGCACACTGACGAAACTGGACAGTTTAATGCTTCAGACAGGCCCGTGTGCCCTTACAGGCGCTTCCATTGCAGGTCTGAGTCTTAAGGCAAACCCAGTAAATGAGAGGTTACATTCTTGAGCGTTTTATGGTACAAACAGAGGAAGAGGCAGACACTATCCAAGGATTTGCTGTGTTGTCCACTGGGGCCCTATTTCCGTCCACTGCTTTCAAAGGTGGCCAAAGGCGCACAGTTGGTGTCCAATTGCATCCACTCAGATCATAAGGTGCCCACTGGTGTCCAGTAATGTCCATTAAGATCTAATGATGCCTATTGGTGTCCAACTTATGTCCAGTGGTGTCCAAAAGTGTCCACTAAGATCCAAAGGTGTCCTTAGTTGCCCACTGGGATCCAATGGCGTCCATCGGTGTCCAATGCACCACAGCCTAGAGCGTCTGCTCCTCATGCACCTCCTTTTTCCTCCTCCTCGCGCTCCTGTTCCTTTCTACACCCACTCTCTGTCACTCCTCTTCTCTATTCTCGAGCGCTGCTCCGTCCTGCGAGCCTCCGCTCCTGCTGCTGCTGCTGTTTGTGGCACCGTGAACGAGCGTCGAGCGCGCGCTCCAGCGCTCGCGGGCTCGCGCAGCATCCGAGCCGGTCGCGTTCAGGTTCCCGCTCCCGTTTCCGTCGTCGTTCGCGCTTGTGCTGTTGCCCAAGGGCGCCCAGGGGCTCGTGTTGTTGCCGTTGCCGCTGCCCATGTCCGCGTCCGTAGTGGCGTTAGGCGGAGCGGAGGTGCCCGGCTTCGCGCCCGACGACGGCGAGGTTGAGGCGGCCGTGGGCTTCCAGATGAGGCTGTAATACACGGCCAGGATGATGGCGGCCAGCGACACGGAGAGCACGTAGGCGAAGACGGTGGCCAGCCTCACCCACTTCTTGTTGGTCTTCGCGGCCATCTTGGCTTTCTTGTCCCCCGTGTAGGTGGCCGGCTTGCCCCGGTCAGCGCCCGGCGCGAAGTCCCTCTCGCGCATGTTGCCCCGCTTCTTGCCCCGATGCTCCGCCGCCCCGTCCGTCTTGACCGCTTTTGGTTGGCTTCTGTTTTAATTCGGTATTTTCTTCTCTCTCTCTCAGAGTCTCAGTCTTCAGGGCCTCCACCTCTTCTCTCCGCTCTAAACTCGTCTCTCCTCGTCCATCTCGCGCCTCAGAGATCCGTCATGGCCGTGTAGCTCCGCTTCTCGAGCTCCTCTCCGCTTCTCGATCCAGCTGTTTCCAGCTGAGGGTCAGCACAGCAGTGGCACTACAAACACATCCGACAACTGACACATCCACGTTTATAATAAAGGACGATGCTCGCGCGCTGACACACACACACATACAAAACACACACACACATACAAGCACACACACTGCTGTTAATGTTGTTCACCAGCTGGAGAGGCTTTGCTCAGCTAAAAATACAGCAGAGGGGGCGGGCGAGGGGCTCTTAAAGGGACGGCCAAGCTGCAGCCAATGAGCGTTCAGGGATGGAGAGGATACAGATACAGGGAGATGATGCTCAGGTGCTTAAAGGGCATGTGAGGTGTTTAGAGAGGGGTTTGGACACAGAAGCGTTGGTAGAGGTCGTTTTGAGGTGAGGAGTAAAGCTACAGTAGAGGATTTATGAGCATTTCAGTTAGTTCAGCTGGACGGACAGACTGTTTACTGTAGAAGAGAGAAGAAAATCATGGCTTTGTTTGTCTAAATGAGTCAAAATGAAGATGAAGATTGTCATCAGTACTGATCACTGGGCTGAGGGGTCAATTCAGCACCTTGGACAGCAACACCTACACACCTAAAAAAAGATGGTTCTTTAAAGGTTCTTTAGTAAAGGAAATGGTTCTATAGAACCATTTCATGCTTAAATAGTTCTTGAGATTGATGGAGAATGTGTTGTAAATGGTTCTACACAGCACTAAAAGGGGTTCCTCTTTTTTTTTTTTACAAGCCTTTTTATTATTATTTCTGCAATACAAAAAAAAGTGTGTGCAGGAAAAGTAAAAAAAAACCCCATACATTGTAACAGTAGCAGAACCCTTTTTGGTGCTATATGAAACCATTATCAAAAGAATCATATACAACACATTCTCCATCAATCTGAAGAACCATTTTACCATGTGATGAACCATTTAAGCATGAATTTGTACTGTACTGAAGTATATATTCAGTCAAAGTCAATAAGTATCTATATTTAAACATCCTCCAATATTTAAAAGTAAAAGGTACATATTTTAACAGATAACATTGAGTTACTACATCCTTTTTGGTTGTTTTATAGGCTCATATGCAATATTTATCTATATATATGGACACACATGTGGACTGTGTTGACTGAGGATTGAGGCATTTACAACACTGTAACAATTATGCAGCTTTAAAACTTATGAAAGTAAGTAAACTGGGTTAACTTGAAATTTTGAGTTCATTGAATTTAATAAGTTGACAAATGTAAAACCATAACTCTTGTGTTAACTTTATATTGGAAATTCAGTAAACTCAAAATTTCTCAAGTTAACCTGGTTTACTTAGTTTTTTTAAGTTTTATAGCTGCATAATTTTTTACAGTGAATGTTTACATTCTACATCAAACTATTACTTCCTACTAAAAAAGCAAGAAAAAACTTTTTCCATGATGTGAACCACATAACATTAAAGTAACTTTACTAATACACTCTTAAAAAAGATGGATCTTCAAGGGTTCTTTAGTAAAGAAAATGGTGCTATATAGAACCATAAACACTCAACAAACCCTTTTCATGACTAAAGGATTCTTTGCATCATTAAATGGTTCTTCAGCCTGATGGAGAATGTGTTGTATAAGTTTCTTATAGAACCTTTTTGAAAAGTGTTCTGTATAGCATCCAAAAAGCTCTTCTATTGTAATAATGTCAACGTTGTAGCAACAGAAGAACCCTTTTCAAAAAGGTTCTGTATTCAGAGGTGGGATGCTGAAGACCCCAGCCACTTTCCTGACATGCTTTGCTAATAACAGCTAATTACTGTTAAGTCTGACATTTGAAATTCTTTGATAAGAAGCTTGACCTGTATCTCCCAGAGTGAACCAAAAAACTGCACTACTCTTGAAATGTTCTGCTGAATAATTTATCACTTCTAAATATGTCATGAATATTTAATAGCTGTTGTATTCAACTGTAACCACATAATGTACAAGATGCATTTGAATCATTTTTCATGTTTATTTAATGATGTGCAGGCACAATAGCCTACTAAGCATGCATAGAAATGGTTGAAGCCCCTTCTTTCACATATTTTAACCTTCCTCCCAAAAAGAAAATCTTCTGTATCCTTGTAGAAACGATCCTGCCGCTACATAAGCCAATATATGTGCCCCGATAGTTTTACTGAACTGATTACATTGATAGTATGTTTTGTAACAGAGACTGGCAAATTTCAATCATTCACAAAAAGAGTTCTTTACTGGCCTGTGCTGGGTTTCCCAGATCAACATCATCCTTAAATGGTTGAGTGAGCATCACACTGCACACTCTCTCTACCTGTTGAGATGATCTTAACATTAATATGCTTTTGGGAAACTGGGCCCTGAAAGATAAAGCTGTATTGCATTTTCAGCTTTTGTTTTCTCTCAGTAAACTGTGGCTACGTTTACACAGCAGGTAAAAGTGGCCCAAATCCGATCTTTTTCCTTAAATGTGACACAGATGTGTCATCTGTGTGGCTGTGTGAACAACAAAAAACGCATTGAATCTGACATTTTCAATTCCGATTTGAGACGCTTTCATATGCGGTACTGAAATCCGATACGTATCCGATCTGCGGCAATGCGATTCAGTCTGAACGGCCAGATCGGAATTCATGCGACTTTTACGTCAGTTCAACTCGACATTCGTCATAATTTCGCGCTGCTGAGACTCATAAACATTTAGTCTGATGTTTCTGTACCAAAACATTAGAAGAGACTCATCAAACCGCACCGTGTTTAAACGGAACGGCCGAACGCGGCCGGAGGAGCCCGAGGCTGCAGCGTCAGAGAACAGTTTAAAGAATCCGAGGACACGAACCAAAGAAGCGGCCGTGCCCTTGTTCGGCGAACTCGAACACGTTGTGGGTGATGAGTCCAGCTGTCAACCACTGGAACGTTATACTCGCCCCTGTGATGCTGGCGAAGACGAAACTGAAAGCTGCGGGAGCGACTGGCGTTCGCCGGCCGTCATGACTGTTTACCTCTGGACGAGCCGCCAGGTGAAGCACTTTTGCGCGTGTGGGTCGGTTTAGGAGCGTGATCTGTTCAGACTAATGTCGCATACAGATCACATTTAAAAGATAATGTGAACAGCCAAACAAAAAATCGGATTTGGTGAGAAAATCAGATTTGGGCCACTTTTACCTGCTGTGTAAATGTAGCCTATGAGTCAAACTGAAAGAAGACCACCTACCACCATTCACTGTAACCAAAAAGATTTTAAAGTTGAGTCAATCAGATGCAGATTCAATCAGTAAATAATATTATTCTTATTATTGTTTATGATGTGTATATTGTCGTTATTGGTAGAAAACCTTGTATCTCCAAAACTGTCACTGAATTGGGTTTAGTGAGAATTTTTTGGACGTTGTCATATATCATTATGTATTAAACTCACACACACAAATAAATTGTCAGTCTCGATGTTCAGCAAAATCAATATTATAATAGTGAAAATATGATGACAATAGTAGATAATTCACTTACATCCTTGCGAGACACTTTTTTTTGCCAGCTTTTGACTGAGTTCTCTTTGAATACTCTGTTAAAACACTCACAAAAATCAGATTCATCAGAACAACCAATGTTATAAAACGTTCTTCTGCACATTGAGTGCAATTACACATTTCCACCAGAGAGGTCAGATCCCCAGATCTTACATAGTGTAGCTTTAAATGTAAATTAAATGTGAAAATATTTAATTCAGAGCAAATTTGGATTATTTCTACTGGTCCATTCATCATCACACACTGTAAATGGCAGCAGGCAAATAAATTAAAATTGTCAAATTATAAAAATAAATAAATAAATAAATAAACATACAAGGTTTTGTCCCAACAGTGACTATTTGGGTAAAACCCCCCTTTGTTTTCAGAACAGCTTAAATTCTGCATGGGTTTAGCAAGACGCTGGAAACATTTCTGAGAGATGTTGGTCCATGTTGACATGATTACATCACATAAACGCTGTAGATTCTACTGCAGTTCTTCCACATCCCAAAGATGCGCCATAGGATTCAGATCCGGTGACTGGGGAAGCTATGGAAGTACACTGAACTCATTGACATGATCACGGACTTGTGCTTTGTAACAAGGTGCATTATCGTACCGGAAGCGTTGGAAGATGTGTAAAATGTGACCATATCAGCTGTGGCATTCAAACAATGCTTGATTAGCATTAGCGGCCCAATGTATACCAAGAAAACATTCACTGAACCATTAAACCACCCCAAACAGTTTGAACTGTTGACACAAGACAGGTTGGGTCAATGTATTTTGCGTTGTCATGCTTTTCTGATCACTGTTGAAAAAAGTGGCTGTTCAAGTTCCTGTCAGCTTGAACAAGTCTGGCCATTCTGCTCTGACCTCTCTCATAAAAAGATGTTTCTGTCCATTGAACTACAGCTTATTAAATATTCATTCTTTCAGATTCGTGTAAATTCTAGAGACTGTTACATGTGAAAATTTTAGGAGATTAGCAATTTCTGAAATACTCAGACCACACCATCAATTACCATGTCACAAAATCACTTAGAAAGCATTTTTTCCTCATTCTTTTGTCTGATGTGAACATTTACTTTAGCTCTTGACCTGAGTCTGCATGATTTTATGTACTGTGCACCTACCACATGATTGGCTGATTGGATAATTGCATGACTGAGTAGCACTGCTGTGTCTGATCCATCTGCTGAGAATGATCCACCACCCAAATAATACCTGCTATGTGGTGGTCCTGTGGGGGTCCTGACCATTAAAGAACAGGGTAAAAGGGGGCTAACAAATTATGCACAGAAACAGATGGACAAGTCTGTGATTACTGAACTACAAAGCGCACCTATATGGTAAGTGGAGCTGAGAAAATAGACAATGATAATAATATAATGAAAATATAATATATATATACATATATATCGCTGTTGTCTCCAAAATGATAACTTATAACTTTACAGGAGAAAAAAACATACTTTACAGGCATTTTCGTATTATGTCAAAAACTGAAAAATGACAAAAATGGAGAAATGAGGTTTTGTTCTGACACACACACACACACACACACATATATATATATATATATATATATATATATATACATACACACACACACACGCACACATATAGTCAAGTAAAAGAACTTAGGTACAGTAACAAAGTAATGACGTACTGTCTACCACTGTAATTCTAATTATATAATTATTATTAACAAGCAGAACCTTGACAGATAAAGCAAGATAAATAACCACAGATAAAACTACCTAGTCAACATGAATATTAACTCAAACAAATACATGCACCTGACAAGGAACAAAAACACACAAGGGACCACAAAGGCATAAATAACACACAAGTGGCAACACACAAAGGAGGAGATAGAAGGAAATGATGACATGAAAGGGCGGAGACCAGAGAGGGTGGAACGAGGACAAGGAAACCATGACAAGCACTGAACCAGGTGTGGCCAAACAAGAAAAACTGATGAAAATATGGTGCACCTCTTGCTTCAGGCAGGTGGTGGCAGAGTGATCTCATCTGAAAAGCTGAAAAGCTTTTTGATTTCAGTACAAAAAGTGCAGTAGATAGATGCAGGTTCAGGAACTCTGTTGCTGACTAACCACCACATAGAAAGCATATCTACATAAAGTAGTTAAAACATGTTCGTAATGAGCATGGTGAAGCCTACAGATGTTGTGATGTCTCTGTGCTGTTCTTCAGAGTCTTTGACATCAAATGGATTTAAACTAAGTGCTTCAATCTATTCATTGTCATTATTTTATGCTTGCCATCTTTATCTATAATGTTTTGCAGATTTGTATGTTATAATATGTGAAATGTGTACAAACTTTTGCATAAAACTGTGTACTGAAAATAATGTACTTAGATACATGTACTTAGATGAAAAAGTGTGCTTATAAATGTACTTAGATCTTTTTAAATGTATGGGTCTGCTAACTATATGATTTTAAACAACAATTGCAGCTCCTAATAAATGTGAGTTTAGCTTTGCCTGCCTGCGAGGTCTAGAGTTTGCTAACACCTGTCTCCAGGATTTACATGTGTTATTGTTGGGCTAGCTGGCATTTGACTATTACCCAAACTACCCCAAGGGCGATGTCTGAGATGAAACCTATTAAAAGTGAGCTTACGCTGTTTCAAATACTCCTGCAAAATGTTTAAGTTAAGCCTCTGCATATGAAACAAGTGCATTATGTTTACTTTATGGCTGTAAAAACCTGTTTTGGAGCTACAGATTGTAACTTAAGATGTCCTGGTGAAGTAGCCTCCTGCATTGACAGTGCACTTAAACACTTAACCCATTCAAACTCTCAGCTTATTGCTGCATTATAAACCTTAAGGCTTATCTTTCAGCAATGTCTATAAATTATTTGGCAAACTACTACAAAACTAACATTTAGGACATGTAAAGTGTATCTTACGAACACAGTATGAAAATACTGTAAGTACACATCCTCTACAGGTGACAAACTTAAATATGGTATTTTTCCTGCTAATTTTTGTGCACAGTTCCTATTCACCTCCTGAGTTTAACATATTGGACAAGAAGAAAACAAAATATAAAAAGTGTTATTATTTTAGCACAGATCACATTTTATGTTTTATCTTCCTTGTCCTTTTTTCTTTTTGACGAGAACACCCAAACTTTTGCATAGAACTGTATTAACAGTGCTGTGAAAAAGTAATTTGCAATAACTTGCAAGTCTTTCACATTGCTGTGGAGGCCCACTCTTCTTTGTAGAATTGTTTTAATTCAGCTATGTTGGGGTGTTTTTGAGCATGAACTGCCTGTTAAAGGTCTCACAACAGCAGAAGCGAAGCAGTCCCAGATCATCACACTACCACCACCATGTTTGACTGTTGGTATGGTGTTTTTATGGTGAAATGTGGTGTTAGCTTCACACCAGAAGTCACGGGACCCATGTCTTCCAAAAAGTTCCACCTTTGACTATGAGTCCACAGAATATTATCCCAAAATCTTAGGGGTCATCTAGATGTTTTTTGGGAAAAAAGCCTTTGTGTTCTTTTTTGGTCAGCAGCAGTTTGGGCTTTGCATCTCTCTCATGGATGCCATTTTTGCCCAGTACCTTTCTTATTGTGGAATTGTGTACATTGACCTTAACTGAGGCAAATTAGCCCTGCAGTTCTTTAGATGTTCGCCTGGATTCTTCTGTGACCTCCGGGATGAGTCGTGGATAAACTCTTGGTGAACTTTTTGTAGGCTGGCCACTTCCGGGAATGTTCACCACTGTTCCAAGTTTTTTCCATTTGTGGATAATATCTCTCACTGTGGTTCACTGGAGTCCCAGAGCCTCAGCAATGTCTTTGTAACCCTTTCCAGACTGGGTGTTTCCATGCCTGGGTGTTGCTAATGAAACTGAAGCCAGTAGTCAATTGAATTTGGTTAACTGGTAGATTTAGTAGTTAAGAGGACAATTACTATTTCACATAGGCCAGGTAGGACTGGATAGTATTTTTGTTCAATAAATGAAATTGCCAATTTGCCTTTATGTTTATTTGGGTTATCTTTGTCTAATATTAAAGGTAAATTGATGATTTGAAAGAAATAGGGCTGAAGCAACAAAAAGTGTGAAATGAAATGATTACAAATATGATGTTTTATGATGGTTTTACAGAAGGTTTTGGTAAATTTTTAAATGCATTAATGCAGAGGGGTACAGGCAATGAGTTATGAGGAAACATAGTCCCCAAAGAAACTTACTCTTTTGGATTTACCACTATTTTACCATTATCAACATTACGTATAAAACGTGTAGATTTACTGGTCATCTTGGTTAGTAAATAAAATTTCTATATATGTGCTGTAGATCTCAAAACCCCTGGTTCCCATCACCCCCACTGTAAAGAAATCTGAGACAGTACGTTTCTCTACATTAAAACTATTTCACCCTTAAATGGCCAGGACCCACTGGCAGGTCCAAAGTTTTACTATACACCTCTATAACCTAATAATAACTTTGCATTGCCAGTTTGCATTGTAGTCTAAATAGTTACTGAATAAGTCTGTGATTTTAAGAGGCTAGCAGGCAGACTTATGCTGGCTTTATAGCTAAACTTGGTTTGACACTGTATTTCCTAATACACATTTTATGTAATGTGTTTCAAAGTTAGCTAAGTTTAATAGTTAGCTTTGGTCAAGTTAGCTGCTGATGGTTAGCTTGATAAACCAGTCAGATTAAACAGGACTCTACGGTGTTCATACTTATGATTAGAAACATTGTGCGTAATGCACTCATACATGCCATCACTTCACAAGTCCTCTGACTAGCCTCCTCTGCTCTGACTAGCTCCAGTGTTAGCTGTAGCATCAGCTCAGCTGAACAGGCAGCTTTCTTAGCTCAAATCTCTTTCTTATTAGAGATGAAAACCTACAGCATTACTGTTTGGTCACAAAAACATTTCCCTGGTTTGGTTATTATGTACATGGTTTCCAGAATCCTTTTTAGTTTAATTTGATCGACATTCATATGGTCAATCCTTTGTTTATTTTTGAGTAATCATTTTCAGAGGTGCTCTGTGTGTGCTTCAAACATTTCCGTTGTGCAACTGAGGTGGTCTTAGCACAAATGCTGTAGATGCTAAGTAACCTGAACTGAAAGTGTGACGAAGGAGGTAGGACTTCAAATTTTTCAAACCATCATCATCACCCATGTCCTCGTATTTCTTGAGCTTCTGCATAGACGTGTGCAATGCTTTGATCATCATCTACTTTGGCTTCTTCTAAAACTATTTTTGTTTAATCAAATGAAGCCCTTAAACCTTTAGGGCCCTGGATATGCAGCCCACGCATCACTTCCTCATTCTCCTATCTAGTTTACATGTCAGTTTCACCCAGTAATTTACAGAAGTTACTGAACACAACAAGCCTTCAAGGATTAAAGCCCTTATAAACTATCTAGAAAGGCCCTTTTTTGTTCCCAATCACTGTTGGGTCCTCCCTCAATGCACTCATTTGCAATGCATATCGAAGGCAAGGTAGTTTTAGTAGAGTCACCTGAGCGTCCACTGCTGTCAGTGTGCACATCCGCCCCGATGCCCCATCACTGTGCGCTGAGCTGACCAGGCAATGATGATCAGGAAGCGCTACACTCTGAAAGAGCCTGAGGTCAAAGACTATTTGATCAAAGGAGAGAGGTTCACCAAATGGAAAGAGGTGAGTATTCAAACTGCCATTTTCATAATCAGATATGACCTTCCAGAGAAGGCTTTGCTCAGTTTCCTGGAAGTTTAGCAGGTTAGTTTTGGCTGTCACACTCACGTGGCCTTTCTGGCTCGTGTCCAGCTGGTGACTTCTTTTGCCTTTGCAAATAGAGGGGAAAGCAGGTGTTCAAGTGAAGGGCAAAATGACCTTGTTGTACTGCTTTATTTGCTGGGAACCAAATGAATGAATGAAGTCAAATGAATAGTTAAATTCTGCTGGAGCCGTGTCCGTCTACATTTTAAAATGTCTTTATTGACCATGAAGACCTTTCAAAGCATAGTATAAAACCTAAAGATAAAGGACCTAATCTTTACATACAGCACTGTGCAAATGTCTTAGACATCTAAGAAAATATATATATATAGGATATGTATGTATATATATCCTACATTCATTAAAATTCTACAGCACACATGATTTTATAAAGCATATATATGCACAATTTGTATTTGCTGGGTTTCTCATATTATTAAAAAAATGATATGCGCTGTAACTTTTATTCAGCACATAAACAGTAATTGCATATTAAAATGTGCAGAAGTATGTTCTTCTTAGAAGATGTGTTAACTTATTTTCACTTAGAAGATGAACAAAAACATATATCATTTGACCAGGTGCACACGACTGTAAAGATACACAGTAAAAAGATTTGGCACCTGAGAAACTTTTTAAGTTTACTTGAAAAGCTTATTAATTGGCAAGAAGTGTTTATTTGGTCAGAAAAACTTGAATATTTGAATAAATATAAATAATACTAATACAAAAAGTAGTCATTTTATGCATGTCAATGTGTTCGATTAATCTTTCCTTTAGTAGGCCCAGTATTATTTTAAATTATCGTCTAATACTTGGTTTGGCTAATCTGTGCTTCATTATGTTAAGTCAGCAGTGCTGCTGATGGAATTTAATAAATCTATGTGATGGCCAGCGGCATCAAGAAGAAATCTAAAACTGAACTTTATTTACAACTTAACTATAAGAAGGTAATTTTTCTAAATAAGCATTTCTTGTTACTCTTTACCGCATTTATATTTATTTGCATGTACTCTAATGGTATCTGATGTTTGTACAAGCACCTTTTGCCATAATAAATGGTTTTAAGCTTTTAAAATCTCAGGCTTATTACATACTAAAGCCACTACCAGGACAAACTAGCTGAGCTATTCTTAGGTTATAGAAGTGTTTAACAAAACTTTGGGCCTGCCCTGACCATTTAAGGGGTTAAACAATGTGCTTATTTGTCTAAAACATTTGCACAGTACAGGCAGTACAGTATATAGTCGCTGTGGTATCAAAAACCTTTTATTTTTCAATTACTTTTTTTTATTTACTTCTGTTTTAAAACTGACAATAAAAAAGTACAGCTGCCATTTAAATTCTGTGATGAATAAACCAATAGAAATGGTCCAAACATTGTTAGTACAGTAGAATCGATGCAGTGCTCTGCTCTGATTTCCCTGAAATAAAATTAGCACCGTTGTCTGATTTCAGGACTCCACACGCACTTCGCATGTCACCATGAAGATGGACCCAAAAGGATTCTACCTGTACTGGATCAACCAGAGCAAAGTAAGCAGGAGGATCTTCTTAGAACTGTACAGTCAAACTCTTACTTGCTTAAAAGGCAACATAGCCACTCAAACACTTGCTTGCACTGCCAGTTTTCTGTTTGATTACATTTTGTACATTTGTACAATTACATTTTTACATTTGGAGAATCACTACCATTACATAATCATAATAATCACATGAAAAATTGTGAAAAGTGATTAATGTTGTTATTCCATTAAACCACAGTATTATTATAATGATGTTATTAATCATAAAGTGTATTATTCAGTAACTAGGCCTGATATTGATTATTAGTCTATTGTAAGTAATAGAGGAACTGAACTGTGAGCTCACATACGACAGGGTTTAAGGATTTTATCTTTTATATCATTCAACTGAAAAAACCTTTTCCTCACATTTTACTCTTTGTTCCTCTGTCTCACTCTCTTATTTTGGTTCTCTTTCGCTCTCTCTCTCTTTCTCTCCCTCTCATTCTCACTCTTGGCTCTCTTTCTCTCTTTTGCTCTCTGTCCCCTCTTTCTTGCTCTATCTTTGTCTTTTTTCGGTCTTTGTTGCTTTCTCCCACTCTCTTTTCTTTCTCATTTCCATTCTCTCCCTCTCATCCCCCTTTCTCTCTCTGTCTCACTTCCTCCCTTCTCTCTCTCTCTCTCTCTCTCTCTCTCTCTCTCTCTCTCTCCCTTTTTCTCTCTCTCTGTGTCTCTCTATTTCTGTTTCTCTCTCTCTCTGTCTTTCTGTCTCTCTCTCACTATCACACCCTCTCTGTCTCTCTCTCTCTTCCTCTCTTGCTCTCACTCTCATTCTCCCTCTGCCTGTATTTCTCTCTCTCTCTCTCTCCCTTTTTCTCTCTCTTTGTGTCTCTCTATTTGTTTCTCTCTCACTCCGTCTTTCTCTGTCTCTCTCTCACAAACACACACTCTCTGTCTCTCTCTCTCTTCCTCTCTTGCTCTCACTCTCGTTCTCCCTCTGCCTGTATTTCTCTCTCTCTCTCTCTCTCTCTCTCTCTCTCTCTCTGTTATTGATCTGAGGTGTTGTTTGCAGAGCTGTGCTGAAGTGTTTGTTGCTCAGTGATCATTAACTGTCTCTGCAGATTGTGGAGCTGACGGGTGTAAAATCCCTCTCAGCTGACTGCATCTTCATGATTCACAGTGACGTTAGCATTATACATTCATAAACAATCTGCACATTATGGAACATCTGGAGCATCTGTTGCTAACAGTAAACCTGCTCAAATAAGCAGTTCAAATTTCCACTCAACACAGATGGCGTCTGGGCCAACCAGAACAGGAAAACTGTTACTAATGGTCCAGAATACTGAGGAACATCCATAATGTGATAATATGTGAATGATCAAATGACTAAATTACCATCTGCCCACAACAACATAATAAATTCACATGATAAAATTCTTTAAATGGCGCTGAGGTCACTTCTATTTGATTTTACACTTGATTGTCCTTCTCATTGCTGCATTTGACATGTTCTATTACTCTCACTTAGTTTAATCTGAGATCATCATATTATGTTCTTAGTCTGACTGTGTTATTACTCTTTATTGTAGGAAATGGAATTCCTGGACATTGCAACCATTCGGGACACGAGAACAGGGAAATATGCCAAACTGCCCAAAGTAAATAACATATTATTTTGATGTATACAAATGTTCTTTCATATGTGCACTGCTTGCAATATCTAGTAGTTTCTAATTGAGGTATTTGTATAAATTTGCCTGACAAACAGTGGCGATCAGAAGAGCAGTATCATGATCTAATGCTGTGATCACATTACACACTCATATGTACAGAGAGAGAGAGAGAGAGAGAGAAAGAGAGAGAGAGAGAGAGAGAGAGAATTATTGATCAGGTCATCCATTAGAAGACTAAATGACTTGCACACTGTGAGTCCTCCCCTGAGAACTGCTGTGAGCAATCAGTGTTTGTGGAAGGAAGAGAAAATAGAGACAGAAATGAGGGATGTAAACTGTAGCTCCATTTTTGTCATTTTTCAGTTTTACACATAATTTAAAAATGCCTCTTGTCCTTTACAGTATGTATAAATTTCATGGTGAATGGACCAAAATTACTTGAAAAAAATTCTGGTTCCATTGACTTACATTAAAAGTAAAGTACATTTTTTCCTTCTCCTGTAAAATTATTATTTTGGAGATATGAGGTTTTGTTCTGACAGCAGCGACAAAATATTCATTTTATTCAAAAATTAAACAATGTAGCACAAATTAAAACATTGTAGTATTAAAATAAAAACTACATAAAAATACTTCTAAACATTTTTTATCCCAATTAGTGAAAAAGTTCAGCATTTGTGAACATTTGTGAAAAAAAACAACAAAAGCAGCATGTAAAAGATTTGAATTTTGTGAAATATGCAGAATTTATTTTCTCCACAGAAATTCCCATCAGCACTCGATTCTCTATTAGCACTTAAATAGTGTTTTCTGCATCATTAAGAGAAAAAACCCACACCTTAATCCACACCAGAAGGATTGTGTGTATGGTTGCTGATTTCAGAACTGGTAGCCAAGTAAAGGATTCTAATGGCTCAGTCCCACGTCTAATGTGACGTGGGACTGATTCCATTTGGCAGTTTTCTAAAGGGGTTTTTACTTGTCCAATAGCAAACTAGTGGTCTCTAAAGGTAACTATTATCAGCAGGGATGTAGTGAGAATAGATCACAAATTATATACTCGACACCAATTACCACAAGCACAGGGATGTTTATTTGTTTATTTTTAGGATCCCCATTAGCTGCTATTGTGATAGCCGCTATACTTCCTAGGGTCCAGTAGACATATCATACGTAACAAAAATAGTGCAGTAACAATTAACAATACAAGTCATACAAACACAAGAAAAAAAAACAAAGTAGACAATGTAACCATAACATAACATAGGGATGTTTGAATGAATTTATGTAGACACTACGCATAAAGTTCTTTCACATGTGTGCAACTATGATCTTTTTTGTTGTTACTGTCTAGGGCTGCAACAAATATTCGTAAACAGATAACTGACACATTTACCTCCTTTAGGAACCCAGAATCATCCCATGATGGGATCATCTCATGTTTGTTTTTATGGGCATGTGTCCAGGGCCCCGAGCCACTAGAGGCCTCCGAGAGCAACTATAACAAAAGCTAAACAACTGTTTTGACTCATGATGGGAGCTTTACTAGCAGCACAGTGGAAAAACTCTGTGTTGTTCCAAAATGTCCACTTCATTTTCTTTTCCAATCACTGCTTAGCAACTGTTGCACCATTGGTCAAGCTTTCAGATTTTATTTTATTTTTTTTGGCAGTAAGCTAATTTAGTTACTTTGAATGTACTGTGAAGTTGAAGCTCCAGATATTCAAAAGATGTGTCTGGAGACGGTGTCCAAGCTAAACCTCATACCCTATCATAGTATAGGATGCCTATTTCCAAAGCCAAATCTAATGGCACCCAAGTTAAAGGAAAATGTTACATAAACTGCCTACTTCTGCACATAAAGTCACCACGTTCCAAGGTAGCAGTATCTTTTACCTTAAGTTGCTTGACAGCTCCAGATTCTCTGGATTGCTAGCTAGTAAGCTAACAGGCAAGAATAAATGAAAGTGTACTGGCTAATTAGCTGCCCCAGAGCTGTAGGAAAATGATCAGACTGGGTTTAGCATATTTCTCCAGTAAAGTGGATTTGAGCAGCCTAAAAAACTTCACCACTCCCAGGTCCACTGACAAGAGTTGAGCAAACAGCTATTTTCGTTGTAAAGATGATGGTTAAAAAGACATTGTTTCCACTCTCTGCACCACTCACTGCCGTTCAAACAGTGCCAGATCAGGGTTGCCAGATTAGGTAGGATCAGCAACTTGCTAAGAAACAATTATTTAACAGTTTTTTTCATTACCTTGTAGTACTTCAACTGAGTGCAATTAAAAAGCAAAATAAATAAACACAGTTTATCGAGTAGTGCAAAAATGAAAAAACGAAGCCAACAATAAAAATGAAAAATTATTTTCTATTGAATTATTATTATGAAGCAGATTTTGCGTTATTGTTACAGAATGTTCAAATATTCAAGTTAATACTTGAAAATGAAAATATTTGACAGTTTTCACAGGATTAATGGCTCTTAGCACAAGTGACAATATTGTCTGTACAGCCCTGAAACTGGATGTTTCCAGTGATGACAAAGAGTTGTATGCGCTGCCTTAGTTTCAAATATATGTGTTTCCTTTGGTGGAACACACCCCTCACAACATCCCTCCCACACACACACATACATACATACAGACTTGCAAGCAGCTGGCGCTGTCTTGTGTTGTTTAAAATTTGCATTAAGCCAGATTTGCTTGCTGGGCTTGGTTTGTACTCACAGATGTCCTTCGTATGGAAAGCAGAGGCGAGGGCGTTTAGAGTTTAAACACTTGAAGCCATGATTGTGTGATAGTGATTTCAGGAGCCAGATGGAAAGATAGACAGCAGTGTTTGCAGTAATTATACTCCTAATAGTCACATTTGCTAATGTAATAATCTTATCGAATAAAATCACATCTTATAAAGTCCTCTAATTATGAGTTAATGATGCGAACATACTGTGTAATGGATGTCCTTATTGGCAAATATTAATTACATAAAAATATGGTTACCACAACATTGTGCTGTTGATATTTTTACTTATCTGATCTTGTCAAACTCTGTAAATGGAAATGTTCCATATTTGTCATAAACACAGTGGACATGATTGGGGCATTTAATTATTCTGGCCCCTAATGTCTTAGACAGAACGTTAGTCCTTACAGATCATTACAGTTAAAAGATGTTAGGTCTTTGAATTTGAACCTCAAGGCCTGACATGGGCCACTTTAAATGATTACATGCTCTGAATGTGAATACGTAAATGAACATTTAAACTGAATTGAATATTGACTCTCTGATGGAAAACGGATCTTGATTCACTGTGTCGTTTAATGACAAGCAAACACATTCGAATTAATATGTCTACTCATTCACGTAATCATATACACAGTCATGTCTTTCATATGAAAGTCAGAAGGCTTTCATTTCACATTCATGGTTTACTCATGTGTCTGTGATGCCTTTACCCTGTTAACAGCAACCCAAAGTTCGTAATGTGTTCAACATGGACTTCCCTGACAGCAATCACTTGGCCAAAGCCCTGACCATAGTGTCTGGCCCTGACATGGTCAATCTCACCTACCACAACTTCTTTGCAGCCAAAGACAAAGTAGTCCAGGTAAGACTGCTTTACTGCCTCTCACAGTGATAAGCAGTTAGACCTAATCTGAATACCTCTTTACTAACTGAGCTAGTTCAGTGACATTTTAGACTTGACCTTTGGCCTCCTACTATGTCTCTATGAGGTGCCATGGGAAAGGTGAGGGGTGTGTATGTGTGTGAGTATGTGTGTTTGTGAAAGAGATCAGAAAATCATCTTCTAATTACAAATTGTGAGAAATATTGTTTGGTTTCAATAATTAATAGTAATATACTATATACTCACACATATATATGGACCATTCTACCAAATTACTTCAAACTACAAAAACAAATAAGTATTCAGACCTTACATATTTACAATTATGTTATAATCTATTTAAACCAAAGCCATTAATAGAGATATTAATAACCTGAATATATACAAAATCATAATTTACTGGGTACTGTCTACTGGGAGATGGTTGTCCCAAACCCCAACCCCTAAATTTCAATTTGCGAAAATAATATTTATATTGTTTAAAATGTTTTTTTGAAGGTCTTTTGGATTTCTTTTAAAGTGAAGTTGAAAGATTTAGATTTATCATGAGTTTAATTTTTAAATAAAAAAAGCTTTATTCAGAAAATGGTGTTCCACATTTTAATGTCACTACCGAAACAAAGACTTTCAGTCTATATGTGGAGCTTTATTTTAGCCACACCCCTGCATTTTAGAGCAGGAAGTGAGGCTGCATCCCTGTACCTCATGGCCTCATGGTAAACAGTTAGAGGTCATTGTTTTAAAGTAAATGTGTCTCAAATTCTGAAAATCAGTGTGTAACATTAATTGTCACTACTGAAACACACATTTTTGCAGTCAAGTGAACTTGACTCTGATGGTTCATATGAACCATGAGTGTGTTTACATTCACTTATTAATCAGAGTTTGTCAGTAATTCGATCAACACGTTTACATGCACTTGGGTAATCGGATAATGGGAAATTCTGTGTCTACATGAGTCAGGCAATAATTGGATTTCTGCTTTGCAGCTAGCCAATAAACTCACAGAAGAAGATGTGACGTAAACATAACACAAAACTCAAACTTAATACCGTGGGTTTTAACACATCGAGCCATTTTACCTGTGAATATGAACATACATTGTCTAGAAGATGAAGATTAAATCCTTCATTACATTATGTAATTGGTTTCAGCTTTTCTCCACAAGTGTTTTGTTGCCGTCTCATGGGTGCTGTTTTATGCTGCTTGCTGTTTAAGGTAGTGTTTTCACACGTGCAGACTGTGAAATCTGAAAGAAATCCGAGTAAGAGTATACACGTACTGAGAAATCTGATTACTGAGCTAAAATTCAACTCTCTTCTTTCTATTTCTTAGTCAGATTTCTTGCCCTTACTCTGGTCTAAAAAATCTGAGTATGCTGTTTACATGACCATTTGAATAATCAGATAACTGCAGAAATCCGATTATTAAGTGCATGTAAACGCAATGATTGACGATTGATGATATCAAACCTCCATATCTTATCTTTGCATTTTTTTTCTGAAACATAAACCCTTCAACTCTGAACACAACACTGTTCAGACCTTTATAAATCATGGCAGTTTAATTAGCTCCTATCAAAGCCATACGTGGCTCTTAAATTCATATTCATCACTGCTTGACAGTCATGCACCAGGCCCAAGGACAGCCACTAATTCATTAGCTGTAATGCTCTATACAAAGCAGCCGTGGTTGCTGAGGCTAGGCAAATGCAGTTTATGAGTTTATGACTCCAATATCCGGCTCACTGGTGCAGATCAGTGTTGCCACATGGCTTTGAAGGAACCCACAATGCTTTCAGTGCTAACAGTAAATGGAGGCTGGTGGCACTGGTTAGCCTGGGGTCAGACTACTCCTAATGCTTTTTTGAAAAGAATATTTTTTTTATATAAAAAACCCTCTGAAAATCAACTAAACATGTAATTTGACCGAGGGTGTTCAAACGTTTGCATTTGACTGTATACAAACTAAATCAGCCTGTTCTTGGGATAATGATAGGTTAGAAACTGGTCAGGTGAAAATGAGTTCTGACTGTTTTGGTACATAAAACGGCACAATAATTGTAAGTATTTTTTTATTTTGTACTTCAGGGAAGGAAAAACAGAAAACTGCAGAATATGGGCTCTTTAAAGCAAAACCATACCTTATGCCCTCTGGTGGCTGAAAGAGTGAACAGAGAGAAAGGGTAGTGATGTCATATTGGTAAAAAACAATCCCACATACCTTTTTAAAAAATGTCCATGTTTTTCTACTTAGTAAGAACTTTTCTGCTGGAGCTTCAGGCCCTGAGTTTTAGACTGATATCCCAGTTGATCAACATGATCATTGTGCATTTCTCTAATCAAGTAACTGTTAGGGTGGCCAAAGAGATGCACTTTATCTGTGGTCCTACCATGAATAAATAGCAGACATACAGAAGGCTAAGGCCTCAGAAACTAATCTGTGCTGTTTTTCTGTCTAGAACTGGGCTGATGACATCCTGGCCATTGCTTACAACCCTCAGAGGGCCAATGTCTGCAGACAAGTCTTCCTAGATAAACTGTAAGAAAACAAGACGTCATGATTTTGTTTCACCATAATTTTGAAGAAGAAGCATGTGATCCTGTCACATGTGTTCATTTGACCAGTCATTCCAACTGTGTTTTTAAAATGAGGGATGTGGCTTGTGTACAGTTTCAGTATTTAATGCTATAGCACATATATTTCATTCACTGTTTCATTCAATGTTTAGCTACTATACTTATCATAAGAGCTCAGGTGTACTTACAAGCGCTTACAAAGTATTTTAACCTCTTTCTGGTTCTAAATATTTCTCCTAGTGGCCATTCCATCAGTGGAAAGCAAATCAACATATTTTAATAAAATCAAATGAAATATTTCTTCCTGTAACTCTCTTATCAGATTAATTAGGACACTTTTGGCTCTCTGTGTTGAGCTGCTAGTGAGCAATGAGGAATGAGAAGAGTGGGATGAGAACCCCTTGCTGTGAAAACATTCACAACTCTACATGAAGACGGCCATGCCGAGATAAAACAGACTACACAACTGCAGCTTTCTTCATATCAAAAATTAAACTGCCACAATTAAAAAACATTTAAACACAACAAAAACCCTTTTATAAATATTAATATTGACTTTCTCTCACCTATGAAGACAAAAATCTAGTTTTCTTCCAGTTTTGTAATCCTGTACCTTTCCATTGAAATGTATTTTATCAACAATATTTAGAAACCAAATATTTATGGTTCTGAGAGACCTCCAAAACAGGCAGATATTGCTTTTTATGACTACTGTAAAAAAGGGTTAAGTACTTTCAGGACATAAATATTTTAGTACTTAAATATTTTAGTAGTTAAAAATTACAAAAAAATATTGATCTCTATTAATTAACAATTCACATACGCAAAACCATCCAAGCTGCATACTTTGTGGATGGTATATTAGTTAATGTGTTTCATCTTATCTACATTTCCATGTGGTTCAGGTATGTTCGCCTCTCGCTGCACACCAACAAAGATGGCAAGATCCCTGTGAAACAGTAAGAAAGAGGAAAAACATTATGATTTTTGGTGTGTTGGAATGCATGTTGCATTGAGTTTTATGTTGTATATCTTATAATCTTATTATTGTTCCGCAGTATCTATAAGATGTTTCCAGCAGACAAGAAAAGAGTGGACAGTGCGCTGGCAGCTGCGCACCTCCCCAAAGGAAAGGTGAGAGAGCTAATGCTATAGTTAATGTAAAAACATACTCACTGCCCACACTGATACAGCCAAAGGAACACACTCCAACCACTTTATTATAATCATTGTTACCCTGTACCAGGTCCACCTACTGTATAGGTCACTATGTCGGTGTACAATTATAGGTAGTACTCATTCCAGTCATAAAATTTGATTGGGTGAACCATGTTCGAAGCCATTGTAAAATACCCCATATATGCACCTGTTCTGCTGTTTGCATGGACACCTTAGAATGAAAGATGAAGTAAAAACCTGGTTTTGTTTAAAATGAAGGGCTGAAAACTTTTTTTAAAACAACTTGGCTAAATATAGCAGGCTGAACAGACTAAAAGATAGCTAACAGGGTAAACTGCTCCTCCATTAATATTCAGTTTTAGGCCCACTGGATGATTCACTGTAAAACTGCAAAATAAAAGGTAAAAAATGTGTTACTTGGATGTCTTGCAAGCTTCAGATGTCTGTGTTTTTGGTAGATTTGTCATAAGTAATGTTAGTATTTACCACGGAGTGGGGAAACAATGTGGCACTGTTAGCTTGATGCTAACACAACCCTGGAAATTGAGGCGCTAATAGAAATTAGCATTACCATTGCTGTGGCAAGTTAGCAAACAAAAATAATTTATAAGGTGTGTTCTGCATTAATATTAATATTATTAATATTATTAATATTATGATATTTTTTATTATTATAATCACAAAAAATGTAAAAGTTAATAAAATGACTGCAGTATACAGTGATGGCCACTGAAAGTTCTTCTCTTCTTCAGCAGTCCACAGCTGGTTGGTAACGATAACCTACTCCTGGAAAAATTGTTTATTGTAATTATTATTCGTTTTAACTTAAATTATTTATTGAAAATTGTATCATGTTATATTACACATACACAAAGTTGTAAAGCAATATGTCTCTTGAGACTACACATTACAGTGATTTTACCAAGAAGTAAGGGAGTTTTACGCCACTTCACATCACGGCCACAGTCTATGGTCTTGCCTAAGATCACCACAGAGCCATCATAAAATCACACGCACAGGCTGTTCATTATACTGTTATACTGTATATTAATTGAATGTTTGCATTTTCTTAGTTTGACCACATAAAGCCTGATGTGTTCACTGAAGCTGCATTCAAGACTTTCCTAGCAAACCTGTGTCCAAGGCCAGAGATCTATGAAATCTTCACCTCCTAGTGAGTCTCTATCCGGTACTCATATTCCTCCTTTATGTTACTGCATGTTATGTTGCATGATGCCATGGAAACATAATATCCATGATATCTTGTTATGACCATGATGTTTGATGTTATCCTCAGCTCTGCTAAACCCTACATGACGAAGGAGAACTTCACCAAGTTTCTGCATGAGAAACAGCGGGACTCGCGACTGAATGAAGAGCTTTACCCTCCACTTAGGCCTGAACAGGTGAAGGCTCTGATAGACAAGTATGAGCTGTCTTCCAACGCTAACCGAGGTGGGTGGACAACTGAGCAGCATGCCTCACTCAAGGACATTAGAACAGTGGTAGCCATTAGGGCAGTAGGCCTATTCAGTAGGCTGAGAAGTGTTTAATCTGCAGTTGTTTTTACACCTAGTGTGTTAATAAAACTCAAGAGCCCAGTGTTTTACGGGAGCATCACACTCTTGTGAGGAGATGGGAGCAGAGCTTCCAAGCATTCCTTGCAGTTTTTTAAGTAACTTTCATTTCCTTACACAAAATTCATTTCAGACACATCTTTCTTTTATCACACCATAAACATTACATTCCAATGCATTTTACATTTTGATATGCTAAATATAACATGTTTTGTGTTTTAGTTACTTAGTCCATTCTGTAGTGTTGTAATAAAGCCAAAAACTGAAGTCTTTATAGAGTCTAGCATATGTGCATTTGACTTCTTCTAAAAGAATGTTTTGCCCTTTCAGAACTGATTGATCATTGCATTATTAAATCATTGCATTATTAAAGAGAACTCCATTTTCCAACATTTTTGCATAATTCAGTCTCTAAGATGTAACCAAAGTCATTCAGAGTGGTTTGATGTGAAACACTCCATTCAAGAAACTTACCAACTCTAATCCCTTTACAGTAATGGTGATAATACTCAAGTGTCTACAACAAAAATACAGCCATTTTATTTACTATCCAAAACCAGCAGAGTATCTACATGTCTTCTAAGTTTTTACATGTAATATTGATAATGTTGAAATGGTGGAAAATATGATAAAATAAGTTTTCTTTGGGGACTGTTTTGCCTTACCACACTCTGCATTTCTCCACCTTAAATAGATTTTGAAAAATACATTTTGAGCCAAAACTCTATCTGAAAACTATCATTAAACATCATCTCAGGCATCAAGCAACTTGTTAGCAATTGTTTCTTGCAATAGCTGTCTGTAATGTAGCTTTTAGAGGCTTCAAACTCTTCAGATGTCTGGTAACTCAGAATAAGTCACATTGTGTCTCTAAAATGGAACACTTCATGTCAAACCATGAATGACTATGTTTATTTCTCAACCATTTTATGTGCAGAGCACATTAACATCATACACTTTACAGTCTTCAATTTTTTAACACTGAAAGTGGTGTAAGCTACCAACAAGTATGAATTGAAATTGAATTGGTGTGAATAACATACACACTGAGAATGTGTCTACTGATTTGCTGCTTTAACCACAAGCACAGTTGACTCAATCTTCCCAGCAGAAGACTGGAGTTCATATTAAACGTCATTACTCAGGGTGCATGTTATTACTCGCATGATGCTCAAACTAGCCTAATCAATCAGAAGAACTCTGCCTGTCTCTGATATGGATAGTCTGGCAACAAAGGGATCATACTATAACAAAAATGTGAGTTTTTTACTTCAAGCACTGGTAGAAACAGCACTGAAATCTGGATGTTTCCTTCTTTTTATTCCCATAAACTGTATTTAAATCAGATTGCAGGAAAATGGTTTATTTTGCATGTGAACACTGCGTATTTGCTGTAAAAGTCTGATCAGGACATTATTCTACATTCTTGCAGGTCAGATATCCCCCGAGGGTCTCCTCTACTTCTTAATGGGGTCTGAGATGTCACCTGTGGTGTTAGACAAACTGGCCCAGTGTCATGACATGAACCAGCCCATCCCTCACTACTATGTTAAATCTTCACACAACACCTATCTCACTGGTAACACAACTCCAGCATTTGATGTGTGCACTAAAGGCTCTATAATGCATTTTCTTTTGTATTTTTTTCCTACAGGTAAAATTATTACTTTTTTGACTGGAATGTGATTAAAATTGTGGCACCCATTAAATAGACAATTGTTGTCTCATTTTATTGTTAACCATAGACAATACAGTCATTTGTCAGTTATTTTAGGCTCCAGCATTGTATAGTAAACAATGAACTTCAACTGTAGGCTCATAATGCAAACCATGCTTCTATTTTTACTCTGGTCTATTGTACTCTAATACAATATGAAGCTTTCCCTGCTAAGTCACTGATCAGTGTGTGTTTGTTTGTGTGTGTTTGTGTGCATGCAAAGCTGGTCAGTTCTCTGGCGTCTCCTCTCCGGAGATGTACAGGCAGTGTCTGCTTGCTGGCTGCCGCTGTCTGGAGCTGGATTGCTGGAAGGGCAAACCTCCGGAGGAGGAGCCAATCATCACCCACGGCTTCACCATGACAACGGAGATCCTGTTCAAGGTCAGATTTCCTCCAATCAGAGTGGCAGCTGTAATTGTGGGATAAATGGTGGAGGAGGCATGACAATCACAAGCTAAGAGGTGTCAGTCTGAATACCTGTCAGTATAAGACATACATTAAGAGCGGGAAAAGCAGGTGTGCTATGAGTCATTTGAATAAGCATCAGGCAGTTTCAGTGGTTTATGGGAGATCAAGGGAACAATGGAAATAATGGAAAATGTATAGATGAATATACATGATGGCCAGAGGTGGGAAGTAATTTGTTACATTGGCTCAGCTGCATATACATAAATAACATTTTGATGTTTTTTTTTTTCAAATCTCTTCGATTAACAGGTATTTTGTAGGCAAGTATATTTGTTGCTCATACATTTTGCTTTTTAAAACTTGAAACCAAGTGTATCCCAAAAGAAAAGATAAGCTCAAAACTTTGGGTTCTGCACATACTGATACTCAATGTACTAAGAAGTTCCACTTTAGTTCTATAGGAAAGTTAAGTAGATTATTGACCTGACTTCTTTGTACTTTTATTTTAGTCTTTTTTTAGGTAGATATATGAGTCATTGCATTGTTAAAGTAACATTGCTTTTACTCAAGTACTGTTTTATGCTCTTCCCTCCATGTCTGAAAATAATCTTATATATGTTTGCTGCAGATCTCATTAAGAACGGAGCTCAGTCTAGCAAACAAATATATTTGTCATATAGTATTGACACAAACATGTAGCCATTTGTTGCTTTGTTACATCTAATGCCTTTTAGATGAGAAGCACCTCAAAAACTTGTAATCTACACACTCACTCCCTCATGTTTAGCAGGCTGAAGAGTCTCCACAAGAGGGCGCTATTAACACTAAAATGGTTTTGGTGCTTCACATCAGTGACACTGTGTGTCCTTCTTCTGTGGTAGGATGTGATTGAAGCTATAGCAGAGAGCGCATTCAAAACTTCCAAATATCCGGTCATCCTCTCCTTCGAGAACCATGTGGATTCGTAAGACACTTTTGCTATACACCACATCTCTTACTACTATTTTACATCATGGTGTTTCTCCTGTGTTTGTGTAATATATTGACTGAGATCTGTGTCTTGTCTACTTAGAGTGAAGCAGCAAGAGAAGATGGCTAACTACTGTAAGACAATATTTGGAGATGCTCTACTCACTGAACCCCTGGAGAAGTATCCAGTATGTGAAATCCACTGTTAGCACTGTGATGCAGTTAAGATATCAGTCACAGATTTTTATATATAATGCTTAAGATCTTTTGTTTTGTATGTTATACAGATGTATTTAAAAGTTGAACACAGCTGGTCAAATTACATATTTTATTGATTTTCTAAGGGAAAATAATGTCCTTAATGGCAAAAAACAATAATTTTGAATTAAAATGTCCAGACTTGTTTTCTCTAGAGAGGATGTGTAGTTATTTTCTCTTAGAAAATCAACAAAACATACATACAACTTTTGCATTCGACTGTATACATTTACTGGCCACTTTATTGGAAACTCTACTTTGAAGGTCCACCTTGCTGGTCTACAATTAAAGACAGGCTCATCGGTTGCTATGCATGATGTACATTAGCCATCCTCTATTAAATAATTGACAGGATCTCAATAACAGTATCTCATCTCAATAGTACCTCAATAAAATCTGGTCACTATTGGTTTTGTGGTCAGGTGATGAACTGGGTAGAACTGGGATGAACTGGCTGGTTGTACTTGAGATGGGTTACACTCAGTCTGCGATTATGCATCTACATTGTCGAAGTTGGAACAAAAGCTTGTATCATCATTTATGTCTTTTTTTTTACATTTTTATGGAATTTGAAAATAACTGTATACTTTAAAATAAAATACACTTTACGTTGTATTAAAATTCATCTGATGATTAGACCAATAGAAATATGCCAAAATTACTTGAAAAAGGTCTTGTTCCTTTAGCTTCCATTCAAAGTTATATATTTTTTTCTTTCTTCTGTAAAGTTGCCATAATGGAGCTTATGAGGTTTTGACACGCCACAACAATGATATAATGGACCTATAAGGTAGATGACCTCACAAAGTGGCCACTGAGTGGAAGTAGAAATTAGATATTTTTTATGAGGTTGACTATGTACACAATTGTAGACACGTTTTACCCCAATTAAGGTAAAATTGGATTTAAATTGGTACTACATAAAACATACCTTTTGATTGGGATTTGCGGACTGAGAAAGCTTGTCTAATGGGTTGCATTGGGTATGTCTTTCAGTTGAAATCAGGCCAACAGATCCCCAGTCCAGCAGAACTGATGGGAAAAATCCTGATCAAGAACAAGAAGAACAGCGCACCTCAGGCTAAAACAGGCCAAGCCAATGTGAAGAAAGCCACCAGTCAGGATCAGCAGCAAGGACCCTGCAGCTCAGCTGATCCCAACCAAACTGCCCAGACCAACCAGGAGAGCCAAGGTGAGAATTCAGCACCCCGAGCACATGGTCTCAGCCCACACAAACGTCAAAACAAGTGCATCTGTGATAAAGCTGTACTTTGTTTTCTATCACTGGTTTCATTTTCTAGAGGCTTGAGTGAAACTAGGATCAGCTAAGCCATTAAACAGCAATGTAGTCTAAAGTTGATTTTGTTAAGACATATTCCATATCGGCTCTTTAGGTCATATTCTGGCATTAAAACTTAAAATGGTTGTGTTCTTTGCCGGCTCAGATCCATCAGGCCCCTTCTCTTGACAGTTCTTCAAATTTATGTGATACATTTCTTGAAAGGTGAGGCAACTGAGGAGCAGGAAGAGCAAGAGGAGCAAGACGAGCAAGATGAGGAGAAGATGAAGAACTCAGATGAGGTACTGTAATGTGACACCTTTTCCTCACTGATCATTTGCTGACTTCCATTAATTATACCCTGATGTGCATTTTCCTGTATGAGTATTTGGGTTGTAGAGGCCTCCTAGCTTTCCACTAATAGTTGTTATAATCAACATTTTACCTGACATTTAGGCATGAATCAAACAGAATTTGACTTTCTTTTGTGTTGCTGCTTTCCTCTCTTCATCAGGGTACTGCTGGGCAAGAAGTAACAGCCTATGAGGAGATGTCTGCGCTGGTCAACTACATACAGCCAAACAAGTTCATCTCCTTTGAGAATGCTAAGAGTGAGTCCCAGTGTGGATTTTTTATATACTTTACATATATGCAGTACTGTGCAAAACGTTTAGGCACCTAAGAAAATTGGAATAAAAACATTTATCTGGACAGTAAGCATTTTATACTACATAAAACACTAATATTACAAATATAAATAATATTAATGTAATAAGTAATGATAATATGTATGTCATTATGTACAGTTAAATAATTATGTACAGTTAAACAATTCCAAAACTCTCCAGACCAGTATTATATTATATTAGATTAGATTAGATCAGATTGGATTAGATTAGATTAGATTAGATTCAACTTTATTGTCATTGTGCAGAGTACAGGTACAGAGCCAATGACATGCAGTTGGCATATAACAGGAAGTGCAAAATACAATATTATTTACATAGAAAGTGCAAGAAAGTAACCGACAACTGACAGTTACAATATGTGCAATTAAGGATGGAGTACTAAAAAAAATAGATGTTGCAAGTACAAATATAAGATATATATAAACAGAGTGAGTGGAGAGAATGTGAGGTAGTATGTACTGTGAGAGCAGCAAATGTAAAAAGTATGCAGAGGAAAACATGTGCAGTAACTGCAAATATGAATAGTGCAGCAATAGCCTTTACAAATATGAATTGTGCAATAATGCTAGGATATAAAGTACAGTAACAGTGCAGTGAGTGCAAAGATACAGTTAAAGTGGCGATGTGGAGTTCAGCAGGGTCTCAGCCTCTTCCTGAACCTGGAACCATGTTTTTTTTTCCCTCAAAAAGACAACCATGCTTGGTAAAGGGATAACTGGCACAAGTCATTTTCGTAGAAGATATAAAATAAATAAAAATAATACAAATTGCAAGATGTAGATTGCATGTTGCACATATGTGTTTTTATTATTGTTTTGTTATTGTTATGGCTCATAATAATAAAAGTAAACAAAGAATGTGTGTGCTGTCATTTCACAATTAAACAACCTGAGCTTTGCAAGTTCATTTATGTCTGTTTACAGTCAGATCTTTTACTCTAACACAATAACACAGTTAATGTATATAAAGTGTGGCTGTTCTATCTGAAATGAGCATGAGAGACTAATCTGGCTCAGTCACTCCCAGCAAACTGTGGAATCTAGGACTCTCTACAGCCGAATAGCCTTCGAAAGCTATAAATATCTGTGTGGAGTTTGTATCACAGTGTGTTTCACAGAATTACAGTTTTTCCAGTTCCAAAAGCTGTTCAGAGAAGTTTTTTTTTTTGTTGATGACTATTACTTTTAGGAATATCATGGATTATGTTAAACAGAACTATAGAACCCATTTGCACTACTGCACATTTTATAGCATGAAATCTAACTGTACCAAACACACAGTCTCAAAAAAGAAAAAACAAAGAACATTAACACATGTATCATGACACTCCTACTCTACTCTAATGATGTATGATGTTTTTACAAGCAAAAACACACTTACTGCTGAGATCATATTAAACAATTTGCTTATGTGCCTGAGATTTTTGTACAGCACTGTATGCCACTTATTTCCAACTAGTAAAGTCAGCCTATTCAGACTTTGTTACCTCAACATAATGCAATTTTTTTATATCTTGGCATATGTTCAGTGCACATCAAACAACATTTGAACCTGTGGATAAGTGCATTCAACTTTGCTAGATTGTCAGCTCATTGTTTATCTATGAATGCCACTATTAATGGTGATTTATTTCAGCTTACGCCGCTTCTGCTGTGTTTTAGGCTTCCTTTAGGAGCTCTGATGACAAATTTCTGAACTAATAACTGATTTTTCAAACCTCTTCCAAGCGTAGAAAAGAACAAGAGCTACGTGATCTCCTCTTTTGTGGAAACAAAAGGCGAGAGTCTGATCAGCAAGAGTGCTGTGGAGTTTGTGGAGTATCCTTTCAGTACATTGTTTACCAACAAGTTTATATTTTTGGAGTATTTCTACTGATTTCTATTTTAGTTTAGCCAAATGTGGTTCTACCTACAGCTAAGTTCAGGAAGTGAGAAAAAATCTTTTTGCTCCTTCACTTTGTCAAATAAAACCTTCCTTGTTTGTTTTCCCATAATCCTGGCTACATCTGGTCTTCATAAAGATCATTTGGATGTTAACTGGTCACATGAATGTGGGCCCTCAAACCAGCGATGCTGAGATGAGGTTTGCTGTATTTTTGCCATTTATCTTCAGCTAGCATGTTAGTGCCTTCCTTTACTCCATAATTCAGATATAACAAGAGACAGATGAGCCGTATCTACCCTAAAGGAACACGTATGGACTCCTCCAATTACAATCCTCAGCCCTTCTGGAATGTAGGCTGCCAGATGGTGGCACTAAACTACCAGACCATGGGTAAGAGCCATTTTACTTGGTGTTGGAGTACTTATCTGGCTGTGTGATTTACTGTATGTGTTTTACCATGTATTAACAGTAAATTACTCTAAAGCATATCCAAGAACAACCCATGGAGGTATTATTATATTCACATGTTATGATTAAGACAGACTTAAAGCTAGATCTGCATCCTGGAAATCATTTTGTATGCCTTATGTGCAGTCACATGCAAAATTTTGAGCGCCCCTGGTCAAATTACATGTTTTGTTGATTTAAGTGAAAAAAGTTTACACATCCAGATAACATACAGATAATCAACAATCGATGCAATTTGATCATGTTAACACATCACATTGATCTACAAGTGTGCTTGCTGTAGAGGATGTGTTCACTTATTTTCACTTTAGAAAATCAACCAAACATGTAATCTGCTATAAATGTCATATAATTTATATTCATTTACAGGCAACTGAAGTATTTTTTGTACCTAACTTCATTGCAGTTGTGCATTCTGAGAACCTTTTAGTATTTCCTATGGAACAATCTAAGTCATTGTACAATGCAAGCTCCCAAAGGCCAAAATGTAATGGTTTTAACTGATGGTGTTGGGCTGGTCAGGGTCCAGATATAAACCCTATAGAGAATATTTGGTCTCACATTAAATTTAAACTAGCTCAGCAATGTTTTTCAACTGTTCAGAGTCATCAGTGCTGAGTGGAAAAATACTGACTCTTCTTTTTGTTAAAGGCAATCTGCAAGTTTACCCACAAGACTTTACATTTAAAGAAATCAAAAGGAAAAGCTATCCCATACTGACTTGCTTTATTCTTTTGCTTAATGATTCGCTGTTAAGACCATTAAAAGCTTAGTCGTATTGTATACTCCAAGGCAAGGATTAAAAGTATCGGTAAATAGATAAATGTGAATCTGAATTTAGTATGTACTTCAGTTGGACACTGTTTGCCTCGAAGTTCATGTCTCTGTTCATACTGCCGTTACGATCTACAAGAGGTCATTCTCTTGCAGCAGATATCAAAATCAAATTCTTTGCTACTGTCAACAGGAAGCAGTAAATAAACACAGAGCAATCTGCTAAACTTCATTTGTGTTTAATGTACAGATTTCCCCATGCAGCTGAACATGGCACTGTTTGAGTTTAACGGGAGAACAGGGTATCTCCTCAAACATGACCTGCTGCGGAGAAGCGACAAGAAGTTTGACCCCTTCACTGACAGGATTGACACCATTGTGGCCAACACGCTCACAATTAAGGCAAGTCGGTTAACCCTTTAATCCACTCATGTCCAGCTATTAAACTTAATATATTACTATTGTACATTATTGTTTGACGCAGTGGGTAGTGCTGTCACTTCACAGCAAGAAGGGCTTAGGTTCAATTCCCTGGCCAGGCGACCAGGGTCCTTTCTGTGTGGAGTTTGCATTTTCTCCCCTGTGTCTGCGTGGGTTTCCTCCGGGTGCTCCGGTTTCCTCCCACAGTCCAAAAACATACAATCAGGCTAATTGGAGATGCCAAATTGGCCCTAGGTGTGAATGTGTATGCCTGTCTGTCTGCCCTATGATGCTTGCTAACTTCCACACAAAACTTCTTGTACATTTTCACTCTTTCCCACCTATCCGTGTCCATCCAGGTCTACTCAGGCCAGTTCCTGTCTGATAAGAGTGTGAAGACAGCAGTGGAGGTGGAGATCATTGGCTTGCCTGGAGACCCCAAACGCAAAAACCGCACAAAGTGGTCCCCAATGCCCAACGCCATCAACCCAGTGTGGAACGAGGAGCCATTCGTGTTTGAGAAGGTATGTGATCCATCTAAAATACATGGCTGTTAAGCTGCTGTCAGCACAAAAAGCTTTTCTGTGCAAAAATCAATACATTATTATTATTATTTTTAAAATGTGCATTAAATCAGTATTGTGCATTTTAAAATCTGATTGAGTTGCGCATGTTTGAGTTGGAGTATGTGTTTCAGTTCTAATGGTTTGTGAACAGATTCTGTGCCCAGACATGGCTTCTCTCAGGATAGCAGCCTATGAGGAAGGAGGGAAATTCATTGGTCACAGAATCATTCCTATAGATGCCATTCAGTCAGGTAGGTCCAACACTGTTTAGAGCTCTGAAAAAAACAGTGTGGTTATAGTGTGTATGATAGATGTGCGTCAATTACACACACACACACAGAGTGTGCTTATTTGAGAATAAGCAGGCAGCATGTTTCTTCATAAAAAAGACCTTGATAGTGCAGTGTCAAGGCCAAAAGACCTTTCATAAATCTTGAAAAATTGCCATTTTTGAGTCATGAATAGGCTGGCTCATTTGACCAAGTCAGCTGGTGTGACCCTAGGAACATCATGGAAATGTGTAACTATTATAATGATGTTTATTTATTTGATAAACAGCTCAACACAGCAATGCAGCTGGAGATTTTAAACACTGTCCACTCACTGTCCACTCTATTAGACACACCGACCTTGTTGGTCCACCTTGTAGATGTAAAACCAGAGACAGTAGCTCATCTGTTGCTGCTGTTTGTAAAGTCTAAAAAGTCTTGTACATGTATTATAGGCATATTTGATATACAGATGAATGTGTGTGTGTGTGTGTGTGTGTGTATGTTTGTGATCTGCAGGATTCCAGCACATTTGTCTGCGTAGTGAAAGTAACATACCTCTGACTCTACCTGCTTTATTTGTCTACATTGAGGTGAAGGACTACATCCCTGCTGCTTTCGCTGGTACTCTCAACCACACACACTGAAATCTTTCTAAAAGAATTATTTTGGGTTTTTACAAGCTTTATTAGTCAGTGTTGTAATCTTATGCCCATGTTTGGCTTCTCAGATTTCACAGATGCTCTCTTTAATCCAGTGAAGTCCACAAAGCCGGCAAAACAGGAGGCGAGTTTTAAATACAGCACAAAGTTACACAGAATACTGGCATACTTTCTGCCTTTGAGAACCCATACAATAGAATTCAGCCACAGGAGTTAAAAAGATTTTAATTTATTGTTTCTAAAAACTATTTTAATAGTATGTTGTTTTAACTAATGATACAGCACCTACACAGAGACAGTAAATCTATTAGGAAGCAGCTTATGCCTATCATTACCAGTGAAAACAGACATAAGCCATTTCCATTTATACTTTTATACCCCTGTGTTTGTGTCTGGCTTACATTTATCTGAATGGTGATAATCAGTTGTATGTTTTCAGAGTGCTACTTATGTAAGCCCATATGAGCTGCCTCATGCAGTAGCACCTGTCCCTGCACCTGCTCCTACCACAGGTAAGTTGCATCCATTAATAATTTCTATTAATCAGAGCTGAACATCATGTATGTAAATGCTGTGTTTATGGTCTTTCTGTAACAATACACTTACAGAACCTGATGCTACTGATAGTCCAGTAGAGGGCGATGCTAATCCTCCAGATCAAAACGGAACTTCTGCCCCAAACTCAGGCAGCACTGACACAGACTCCAACTCACTCGCCCCAGAACCCACCGACCCGGAGCCCACCGACCCAGAGCCCACCGACCCAGAGAATCAGAACCAGCCAGCACCATCTAATCAAGAAGCAGAGCCTCCTGAGACCCAACCTAACCCTGAGGAACCTCTAGCCGCTAATGAGCCTGGTGAAATCTCTGAAACCTCTGAGGTAGAAGCAGCTGCTGAGTCTACTCCTGATCCTAATGGTGAAGTAGAGCAAGTTGTGGAAGTAGAGCAAGAAGCACAAGCAGACCCAGCTCCAGACACTGAACAAACTTCTGAACAAGTTCCAGACTCTGAACCAAACCCCAGCGAGCAGCAGGATGCTGGAGCGGAGTCTAACTCTGTATCTGACTCTGGATCAGCTGTAGAAGCTGAAGAGGTTACTGTTCCTGCTGAAAGTTCAGACACCACCACAGCTTCGGGTGCTGCGGGTATGGCATCCTACTGTTACCATTCCTATTCCTGCTATTCCTATCCTGAAATGGAAAAATGATCTCACAGCACTGGTTTAGCTGTGTGAGATATAAACCAGCAGAATAAGAGATATTCCTACTAGGGCTACACAATACATCACATACATTCCAACTAGGGCTGCCAGTCACATCACATAGGGCGCAGTGATGTTATGGGCTTCAATATGCAAACTATCCCTTTAACTAATCAGAGATTTGCTGTGACCTTCATAACTAAACCTCAAATGTTCCAGAAGAGTGTTTCTGTGGGTGTTTTGTTGAATCACATTAATCACAATTATAGTATTTGCTCAAATATGACCTTAAAGAAAGATTTTTGTTCATTTACATATCAGGACAGTTTGTCATAGCTATATTTGGGGACAAAATAAGCTTAATAAGAATGATTGTGTTACTTTGGATTATTTAGTTATTTTCACCGTAGGAGCTTAGGGTTCAGCCTTAACATTAAAATCACATGATATCTATAAGGAAAAAGTAGTTTCCATTTTTCATTACTGACATGCAGTGAGAGCCACAGTGGCTGAAAGTTTCAACCAATAAGTATTTATATCATATTTATGCAACAGGTATAGCAGGTTTGTAGGTCTGATCATTCTTAGATTTTTTTTTACCACACTACTTTTTGGCAAAAGCAATTGCCAGTATTAAAAGCACATTTGATATAATATTCAGGGCTTATTTGCTTTACATGTAATATAAAATTCAAGGCTTGCTTTACATTTGCTATAATGGTCTGGGCTTCATTGATGCTTTTAAGTGGCTTTCAAAGTGATACCTTCAGCACACTACACTGGACAGTGTTCTTGTGGATAAATCAACAAGCAGCAAACTAACAAAAGCAAGAGCAAATTGGAAAGTGCCTAAAAAGCCTGATCCTGAAGGCCCACTACAATGCACAGTACAATTTTAGTGATTTCACTCCTCCCAACACAACTGACCTAACGATCAATTCATTAACAACCCCTTACTGAGTTAAAGTAGGTGTGCACTGAAAAATAGTCCTGGGCCTCCAGTACCAGGGTTAGGAAAAAATTATCTATGGTACTTGCCCTTGGTTTGTCCTTGTGGCCATGCCACAGATTGTAGATTCTTGCTACAGTGGAGACTCTTGAGGGGAACTGTTGCTTTCCACTTCACTATTTGCTTTTATTAGTTTGCTGCTCATTGATTTATCCACAAGTCCTCCGTGAGCAATGTCCAGCATGGTCTACTGGAGGTATCGCTTTAAAAGCAATATAAAAGCACACAAGCAGCTGGGCTTCAGCCTACACTTCTACAGATACTGATTTGAAGGGTCAAATTAATAAACTGCATTAATGGCATAAAAAGTTAATCAAAATCAAATTAACATGTTATTAACATATTAGTAATGAGTTATTAATGGATTATTAATGCATTGAATTTGCCAGGTCTAAAATACATGTTACATAGATTAAAATATGTATTTTCTATATATTTTACAAAGTATATTGCAATCATAATGTGCAGGATATCGTAATATGGTATTTTATTTATATTGTACAGCCACAAATCTGACAAGGTTAGTTTACTGGTGTACCTGTGCACAAAGGCAGCACAGAGCAGACAAAAATATTGTGTCAGTTCAAGCTAAGAATGTACTTCAAGTGGTAATGAGTAGTTGAACTACATTTAATCAAGTCAGATAACCTTTGATTAAAATGAAGCACAGCAAAATAGCATTTCATATAAATAAACACATAATTCTTTATCTCACAAGCTCTTAAAATCAACCTCTGCCTTGTTCCATTTTTACAATGAACACATTACACTTTACACATTACACTTTCTGACTCATGCTTTTTCTCTGTCACACACAAACACCCCCCACACACAGAACCGGCCACTGTCACCTGTGAGGAACTGCTGCGGCACAAGAGCTACACCAAGGTCACCAAGAGGCAGGAGAGGGAGATGAAAGAGCTGGAGAAGAAGTTCCAGAAGAAGGCTGAGGAGCTGATTCAGAAATACAGTGACCTCTTCAAATCCCTCAAGAAAAAGACGTCCATCAAGAAGAAAGAGTAAACAAGAAACTTACTGCTGCTTTTGTTTTTGCTGAGCAGATTTCCGTCGGTGAATATGTGGTCTAGGGCACGTATAGATTTCTTTAGAAATCCATGCCTTTGTGAACTCATCTGTTTTCTGTGTGATGTACGTCACTGAAGGTGGTCAGAAACCAAATCCTTGGTTAAAAAGTAGCATAATTAGAATGACTTAACAGTTATGGTAATCCAGTAGGGGGCCTGGGCATCATGCTATGGGGAGCTGCTAGGTGCCCAGAAGCCCTAGCGCAAATCAGTGCTGACTGGTTGCACCTGGGGAACGCTGCATAAAAGCTTGCACAAACTGCAGCTCAGCTTTAGCCCAGGTGGTTACAAAGACAGTAATAAATAAACTAGTGAATAAAGGCCCAAGAGCTCTGTGCTCAGGCCCACCACCATCCTGTCCCGTGACATATACTGACTTAAACTGGAATAATTTATGCTAGTCTATTTGAAAACACTATTAGTGACATTTATTCTGCAAGAGACAATGACAAAAAGAAAGAAAATCTATTCATGTGCTGTACACACAACTATTTGCACTTCGTGTGCATTTTAATATACTTAGTTTAAAGTTACTTACTTTAAACTAATTTTATGTTTATTACGTCTTGAAAAGGCTTTGCCAAATTTCGCTGTGGCCAGTTCCCAACTGCTAGCTAGGCCTCCCCCTATCATGCTATGCTACCACCCTGGGAGAGTGAAGGCAGCCACTGCATCCTTCAAACTGCTGCTATGCAATGTCATTTGGAGGGGAGCACTAACTTCACCACTTCTTTTTAACTGACAATCATGTTAGCAAATGCTGTGCTGAATGACTGGGGAGAGGGAGGGCCATGCTACCCACCCAGAGAGAGTGAGGCCAATTATGCTCAATTATAATGAGTTGAGAATGGTACACCACCAAAAATATTTAGCCAAGAGCAGTTCTGTGGTCAGAAACTGACTATTGGTAAAGGGCTAGAGCAGGGTTCCTCAAATCTAGTCCTGGAGTGCCGGCTCCCAATACAGTTTACTGATTTCTATGCTCAAACACACCTGATTGAACTCCAGACCAAATTTTAGGTTCCCTGGGCTACAGGATGTCTAACAAATGACACCAACAAAGTGAAGTAACAAGGCATGGGATTCTAAATTGCCAGTGAGTACATATTTCTCGTCTATCATCTGATAAACCTGATAGTTCTGACTAGGCATGTTTAAATGAAAGGCACAAGCATTCATTTATTCTCTTGTTTGGCGTTATAAAAAGCAATAAGTCAGTGTTATTACAATGCATGGGATCACTGACTATAGATCAGTTTTCTCAAGCAATTTGGTCAGAAACCCACTCTAAGTCATTCTGTTCTAGTAACATTGACTATTTCTGTTGCTGTGTAGGGCAGGAGCTGAGGGGGCATATACTGGGCCCAATGCGGAGCGAATCAATGAGCTGAAACAGAGTCTGCAGGTGGAGCTTCGAGCAATGTGGGTGGAGCAATATGATCAGCTGAGGAAGAAGAAAGAGCAGCATTCGACTGAGGTAACAGTAAAATCTGAATCTTTGTGTCACACAAGATTAGATTAGTCTCATTAACTCGTTAAAATACCAGACTTATTACATAGCATGGCTTATTATTCAGTAACTACAGAGACTTCAATGCAAACTGTTTGAGCTATTCTTAGGTTATAGAAATAAATAAATAAATAAAACTTTGGGCCAATGGCCATGTAAGTAGTTAAGGATTAGGATGATTAAGTGTAGCATCAGTTATACGAAACTATTTGAAAAAATGCTTCATCCAAAAATGCTCATTTTCAGAATAACGAATGAATGAATGCTAGTTGGAGTCAGTTAACATTAGCATTTCGCACCTGCTAATTGGTCCGTTCTAGTTTCCAGTGATGTTGGCCTTTTTTTAACTGCATTGAAGTTAGTTGAAGAGAAAATTAATCTGAAAGTTTCACTGAACATCTAACATCCAATTTGACTCCCTAATGCTGCGAAGCAGCTGTGTACTTAGCCATCTGCATTTATCTGCATCAGCAACCCTTTTGAGAGGGCACTAATCATCACATCGGCACAATCCCCTCACCACCAACTCTAGCCGTGTGTAATTTATGGGTACGAAATCCCACAAGGCCAGCGATATCTACAGCAGGGTTCTCCAATGCTGAACCTGGAGAACAACAGTGATGCAACAGTGTAGTTGATAATTAGTAGATGGCTGATTCAGGTGTGTCTGAGCAGGAAAAACAGCACCAATTTTCCAGACTCCTGATCTAAAGGTACTCCTTCCAACTACACAACACCTGAACTCATTAATTTGGGATAATGTCTTTGGAGACCCCATTAGTAAAACCAAGCAGGAATGCAATTCTACTTATCAGCTAATTACCAAACCCTTCATGAATTAAATAAGGTATGGTAGAACAAGGAAAACGCTAAACTGTGTAGAAGCTGTGGCCCTACAATAGTAGAGCTAGAGCTGTGAATTTTCTTGTTTTAAACACTGAAAGTTAATATAGGTTATTACATTTTTATTAAAACATACAAACAAGGACAGTCTTAATAACCTGAATTTCTGTCACAATGAGCTCTTTTAAATATGCTTTTACTCTGCTCCTGATTCCAAAACTAAAAGCCTGGTCCAGATGTGTGGCCTCCATGTCTTTCTTACCATGCTGTGTTAATGCTGTATCAGACTGGTGATAATTCTGGTAATTCTGGTGATTGACATTTGCTTAGACCTATTGCACTCAGATATCAAATAAAAATGTCACAACACGAGTGGCACTGTGAATTAATGTTATGCTTATAGTTTTTTATATTCAAAAGAATTAAATTTATAGAGCATATTCTCGATCCTACCACTGCCCTGCACTTTCTTACAGCTTCTCCTGCTCTCAACTTGCCCAATCTGACCAATGAACTAATGAACAAGCAGTAAAGTGACAGTAAAAACTCATTTACTTCCTGTTAAAATAATTATAATAATTATAATATTTCCACATATAAATGTAAATTAACTTTCAAACAAGGTAGGTGATATTCTACATCCATCTAGCTAAAAAGTCCCCTCACTGTCTCAACAATCTGTCATTGAACCTTATTCTAATTAACCCCAGCCCAACCACCCTTCTTTGTATCACCCTCTTGTGTTCTTTTTCCTTTACCAATTCAGATTTCTTTCTTTCTGTTTCAGCACAAAATGTATCTAAATGTAAGTTAATTCAACTGGAAAAGTAGTACAAGCCCTTTGAGCTTTTTTTGTTCTTTTTCTGCGCTGTTTTATTATTTTATTTTTTTGTATCCTAATACTCACTATGTCTGGCTATGTTTGGTCTGTTGTGACAGCTTGTGAAACGCCAATTAAAACAAAACAATGATTAGTGAATTTTGATTGACCTGTGTTTAACTGAAAACAGTACAAAAACACAATATTTGATGTTTTACCTTATGAAATTTAATTGTTTTTTTAAATTTAATTGTTTTGTAAATATATGCTCTTTCCAAATATGATGCCATATCAAAATTGAAAGAACTGATGTCCCCAAACATTTATTAATTTCTGTTAAAAGGAAAGCACCATGAAACTTTCATGCAACTTTAGTTTTAGCATTTTAGTTGAAGTCTCAAGCTGTTTTCTGATATGTCCACGATTTGTTCACATTTGATATGGCACCATATCAAAATTGGAAGAATTGGTGACTTCAGTTCCCAAACCTTTATTAGTTTTTTATTTTTATTAGTTTTATTAGTTTTAAGGAAAGGTGATGTAACAAAGTTGAAAACGTGCACCTGTCCCAACTTTTTTGGAACATGTTGCAGGTATCAGTTTCAGAATTATCATATATTTATAAACAAGGACAAAAAGTGTCATTGATGCAAAGCACAGTAAAACTTTTTCTTGAAGTCTCAAGCTATTTTCTGCTAGGTCCATGATTACGCTTTGGCTAGACATGAAGGCTTTGCAATGTAATGTGATACCATATTTGAACGTTTGCTTGCTGTTAGGACACAGTGTTAGAGTGTCTGATTTGTCCTAAATAAGCATAAATATATGCTCTTTCCAAATATGATGCCATATCAAAATTGGAAGAATTGGTGTCATTAGCCCACAAATGTTTAATAATGTCTGTTAAAAGAAAAGGTGGTTTAACATAGTTTCTTGGAATGTGTTGAGGTATCAGTTTCAGAATCAGCATATATACAAACAAGGACACATAGTACATACACACAGGCATGTAGTACCCCAAAAGTCCTAGAAAGCAGACACTTCTCGCTTGTTCACATTGCTCAAAAGACTCAGCCATTTCAGCTAACACAGACTTGTTTTCACTCTAGTTACTAGAGTGCCAGTAGCTCCCCCTTGTGGACATGCTAAACATGAGTGAGTGAGTGAGTGAGATAGATAGATAGATAGATAGATAGATAGATAGATAGATAGATAGATAGATAGATAGATAACAGGTCTATGAAGTGCTTTGCATCTAAAAACAATGAAATTGATAAGATAAAAGCTTAAATTAAACCTTAATTCTGCTTTCTGTTTTGTTTTTTTTTATTTGCATTTTACATACAGTACCAACTTTTTTGGAATTGGGTATGTAAATGTAAATTTGTAGTCCCATCTGTATGGGAGTGAAAACTTCTACCTTCTCAGACTTTTTGTGCTAAATTTGCTATGGACACCAATATCGTTATTATCACATTGTTGTCAAACCCATCTGTGGCTCTTCATCCTCCTGTCGATTGACAGTTTGTGAAGATGCTGTTTTATGCTCAAGCTCAGGGCTCACACCAAAACTAGTCTTCGCCAGCATCTGTCACTGTGGGGACCTGTGCGCTTCAATTCATTATCAAGAAAAGTTTTGAAATAGCTGTCATCCATGTGATTGCCATCCATTTGAGGGAGCAGCTTCAGAATAAATGCCCATGACCTGTTCCAAGAAAAAAATCAGATCTTTTCACATTATGTAACAGAACTACAGAGCAGTTTCTGTCTCACACGTGGCAACCGAACAACCATCCGCAGTAAGTCTAGAAGCACTCATTAAACCTTTCAGGCAACTTCTGAGAACACTAACTTACTTCAGCTGAGTCACCAATAAAAACCTGAAATAGTTGTAGTTTTTGCATGCTCCTGTAGGGCCAATTACTGAGCTCTCCATCTCCACATGGGCCAGGAGCTGTTTGTCCTGAATTCACCCAGTGCCCCATCTGATTGGCATTTCAGCTAACAACTCTTAGTTTGGTGTCGTCACGTTCTGCATTGTTGCCATCCAATACAGCGATGTTCCCTCTTCTCAGCTCCTCTGGCAGTGGGCCAGGCTTGTCGCCCGCCATTGATCCCCCATTAGTGTGGCTCTTCTTTGAGCTGCCCCTTCTAATCAGATGATCTGCATGGATCAAGGGAGTCAGACAGGCCCCCTCTTCTGGGTGCACACCGGCCCTGGCCCACTGCACTCACTTAACCTTGTATCGACCACTCACAGTCACTTCCAGCAGCAAAAAGGCACAATAGACCATTTGTATGTGTTGCACTTTTCACTTTTTGTGGGACCTATCTTAAGATGCTAACTCACTGGGTCTTAGTTTCTTCTGAATTTTATGAGAACACAGTAGAATATTTAGATAGCAAGTGTTTAATTACTGTGCTCGTTAGTACTCACTGTCTACTTTTTCAGAAAATACCTACCTTCCACTTCAGTCAATGGCCACTTTATAGGTTGATGTTTGTCAGTCAAAAGGAGATGAACTAGCTATCATAAAATGTGCACTTGATATCATCACATATTTTCAAAATGCACTCACCAGCCACTTTATTAGACACCTACCTTGTAGGTCCATCTGGCTGGTGTAAAGTAGACAGTAGCCCATCTATTGAGTGCTCTCTAACCCCTTCATTATTAGTCAGTTTTTGACCACAGGACTGCTGTTGATCAGATTTTTGATTTTTGGGTGATGGTGAGGCTGACACGGTAGCGGCATGGTAGTGAATTTTATGTTCTGGTAGTATGGTGTAGCACACATTTGTTTCATTGATAGTCTACAATCTGAAAATGTCCAGCCCAGGTGATGCTTTCATCAGAAACTGACCATTTATGAAGGACTAAAGGCCGTGAATGAGCCAAGACATTGAAATGAACTGTAGACAGATGTTTATACTACAGTGGACAGTAAGCGTATTTTAGTTTTTTTACTATAAGGCTAGTCATTAGGATCAAGCAGGTGCTCTAAACTACTTTATGTCATAATACCACATAATTTAAATATGTCACCAGGTTGAAAAGAAACAATTTTTTGCCTGGTCCTAGATCAGATACAGATGTGATTCGTAGCCATGTGACCTTAATAATAACGGTCAGATCAGAATCCATGTGTTTTTTCCACTGTGCATACACGTACTAGTGTCATCATTCACTATGGTTAGTGTGTCACTAGCAGCAAACTTAAAATTTCTGCCTTCTCCTTTAAACATGAACAGCTCAGAACTGATCAGAGCCAATGATCTTTGCGATGAAGACTTTAGTTTATTCATTCAGTGTTGTTGATGATGCATGTGAATCAGTCACATCAAGTTATAGATTAGGGTGTGCATAGGTGGTTTCAGGGCACAGGTTCTGTCACACTTAAGACAAATCAAGGCCTGAGCAGAAATTTAGGACTGAGCAGTAAGGCTTGTGATGTGAACATGGTCTTACATGACTAGTTCTAATGAGTACATTCTCTAGTCAGTACTAAACAATCCATTTTTAGTTTTACTTTTGACCAAGCGTAGACAAATTTGCACTGGCCATTCGTGCCACCTAGCCAATGAATCTTTTTGCCAAAATTAGGAACTTGTATAGACAGAGGGCCATTTTCATAAAAGTAGACGGTAACAGTGCTACGCTACACAAAATGTATGGTACAGTAAATAAGACCCATTCATAAAGTCACAGTGATGCTGATTAACAGTATTTTTTTGTTCTACATAATTAAAATTAAATCGACATGCTGAAATTCTGATTACTGAAACTACTGTTTTAGCTTTTATTTCCTATTTTTCTTGATCTTAGATTTTAATTTGCACAAGTAAATATTAAACTTCGACTAGTATAAATTATTTTTTTACTTGTACGTCTATTAGTTAAAATGTCATTTATATACACATGTGAAACTGAATACCTTCATACAAAAAAAAAATGAAAGGTGTTGCTTTGAATAGGAAATATTTCTTAAAAAACTTCACTTTAAGAACTTTGCTGTCCTTTTTATCCATCACGGTGGTTACTGCTTGAGAATGAAATCTAATTTGATGCAGTTAGTTTTGTGTCTGAAACAAAACGAACAGGCTGTGGATCTTGTGCAGGAGGGTGAGAAGTAATTTTTTTTATTAATTGTGGATATTTGTGAATGTATGGACATTCAACTGCTCTGGTGGTTTGTTAAATAGGAAAAAAAAAGAAAAAGTGACCACTCAGGCCACATTCAGCATCTTAGTGGGCAATAATTGAAATGTTGTGGCTAGAAACACAGGGCAAGAAGCCATGCTGGCCACTGCCTTTGACCCAGTGACATAAATGAAATCAGTGTGCTAACCACAGAATGGCTGGAACTCACATTCTGCATCGATGCTGTAAGGAAATGAAAGTGTCTTTCTTACTGTATGGCTGAGCTGTAACGTTCAGACATGGCAGCTGGTGTGTCCTGTGTGTGTGTGTGTAAGTGCAACTTCCTGTGTTCTGATTTCTGCCTCCTGTGTTGCAGCGTGTGGCCAAGCTGCTGGAGATGGCTACAGAAAGACACTGTATTGAAATGAAGGCACTGAACAGGTCTGTATGTGTGTGAGTGTGTGTGTGGGTTGTGTGGCTGCGTGGGTGTGTGTGTGCCCTTGACCTTTTGCACGAAAGAAAAACACACAAATGAGTGATGAGTCACCTTGTGTTGCAGGCTATTTAGCTTTCTCATTCTCCTAATGGATCAGAGTGCTGTGTGTGCATGTGTGTGTGTGTGTGTGTGTGTGTGTGTGTGTGTGTGTGCGTGTGTGTGTGCGTGTGTGCTGTTACCTCGTGCTGAAAATATTTTGATTATGAACGTCTTTTTTGTGATTTGATGTAGCGACTCAGCACAGTTGCATGGTCAGTGTGATAAAACAAAAGTGTTGCAGTTGGGTTGCAGATTTTATCCTTGACCCTGCTTCTGGCCTCTCAATGCAAACAAAAGCAACAGTTGAAGCTTGTGTAAGCCTAGTTTATCATTTGAGTCCCATGTCAGTAACGTCTCATACAAAGACACATGCAATCGCTAAAAGATGCAGAGAAACTAGTTGATGCTTTCATAGCTACTAGATTAGTCTCCTGTAACTTGTTACTGGCATGTTGTCCTGCTGTCCCTCTAAACGGCTCCAACTAGTTCATAATGCAACAGTTTGCTTACCAGGAAAATAAAGTCTGAGCGTATTACTCTGGTCTCATTCAGTTTACAATGGGTTCCTGTTCAGTTCTGCATGGACCACAAGGGCTTGCTTGACATTTAAAGTCCTTAATGTATGTCTAGAAATATTCTCACTCATTTTTTCCTATTAGCAGTTGTGTTGTTATTTTCATTTAAAGCATAGCGTCTCCCTTTGAGATTTCATTTATTTAACTATGAAAGGGATATATAAATGTAGATTGTTATTAAATTATTTTACTTATTTTTATTTAGCTATTTTTACTATAAATTCAGTTGTCATGGCAAAATTCCTGCCGGCTTTGCTGTTTGTTCCTGTGTGGGAGTGCATGAGTTTGCCAATGCTAACTAGTGCTACCAGTCAAATCTAAGTGTGTGTGTGTATATGTATGTGTGTGTGGTCCAGCTGATGGAGCTCAGTATCAATGCCATGCGGTTTTCCTCTTTTCAGTGAGAATAAAGAGGGAAAGAAGAAAGAATCAAAGCGGTCATGTTCCGAGAAGGGCAGGTGAGGTGGCCACACACACACACACACGCACACACACACACACACACGCACATATTTTCTATATGTGTCTTTATGGTAGCTAATACCGCCAAATTGGTTTTATATATTGAAAAGATTGATTCTTTTGAACAGCAATTGCAAACCTTTGAACAGTAATGTAAGTAAATAGGTTAACCCTTAAAGTCTGAGGACTTTAAGACTGTTTCCAAAAAAAGTTGGAATGCTGTGCAAAATTTAAATAAAAAGAGAATGCAATGATGGGCAACTCATTTAAATGACAATAGTACAAAGACAACATATCAAATATTGAAAGTGAGAAATTTTATTGTTGTTTTTTTTTTAAATATGTGCCCATTTTGAATTTGATGCCCGCAACATGTTCCAAAAAAGTTGGGACAGGGCAACAACAGACTGGTGAAGTTGTATAATGCTAAAGGAAAGCAACTGGTGGAACATCTCACTACTAATTAGGACAATTGGCAACAGGTCAGTAATATGACTGGGTATAAAAGAACATCCCAGACAGGTTCACCACGCTGTCAAAGCCTGCACAGGCAATTAGTGCAACAATTCAAAAAGAACATTTCTCAACATAAAATAACAAAGAACTCTTCATCTATGGTACATAACATCATTAGAAGATTCAGAGAATCCAGAGAAATCTCTGTATGTAAGGGACAAGGCTCAAAAATTTTTTTTCTTTGGGTCCTCAGATGGCACTTCATTAGAAACAGACACGGTTCAGTAGTGCAAATCACTCCATGGGCTCAGGAACACTTCAGAAAACCACAGTCTGTAAACACAGCTCATCACTATATCCAAAATGCGAGTTAAATCTCTAAAATGCAAAGAAGAAACCATTTATAAACAGGATCCAGAAACGCTGCCACCTTCTCTGGGCCCGAGCTCCTTTAAGATGGACTGAGGCGAAGTGGAAAAGTGTCCTGTGGTCTGATGAATCAAAACTTTACATTTTTTTTGGAAATCATGGACAGTGCATTCTCTGGGCTAAAGAGGAGAGGAACCATCTGGCTTGTTATCAGTCACAATTCAAAAGCCAGCATCCATGATGGCATGGGGTGGGCATTAGTTCTCATGGCATTGGTGACTTACACATCTGTGAAGGCACCATTAATGCTGACCGATATATACACAGATTTTGGAGCAACATGTGCTGTCGTCCAGACAATGTCTTTTTCAGGGAAGGCCTTGCTTATTTTAGCAAGACAATGTCAAACTACATTCTTCACGTATTACAGCAGCATGGCTCTGTTGTAAAAGAGTCCGGGTGCTAAACTGACCTGTCTGCAGTCCAGACCTGTCACCCACTGAAAACATTTGGGGCATTATGAAGTGAAAAATATGAAAAAGGAGACCTCGAACTGTTGAGCAGCTGAAATCCTGTATCAAGCAAGAATGGGAAACCATTTCAGTCTAAAAGAAGTTGTTAAAAGAAGAGGTGATGCAACACAGTGGTAAACATGCCCCCGTCACAACTTTTTTGGAATGTGTTGCTGGCATCAGATACAAAAAACAATAACATTTCTCAGTTTTAGCATTTGGTATGTTTATATTTAAATTAAATATGAGGTTTAAGTGATTTGCACATTGTTGCATTCTGTTTTTATGTACATTTTGCACAGCATCTCAACTTTTTTGGAAACGGGATGTATTTCTCAGTAACTACACACACTACAGTGCAAAGTTTTTTTTTTAAGTTATAAAACTGTATAGCATGTTTGGATCAACTGGTGGATCCTGGACATTTAGGCATTTAATTAAGTTAGTAAGTGTGTCAAAACATTCCATCCTGGAGGCATTTGGTCCCCATTAAAGGCTAAATACATAACCCCCTCACACATACACTGACACAATTGTAAATAGTATGTTAATTTTGCTCTCTCTGTCTGTAAAGACTACCAGGCCAAAACATTAACAGCAATGCCCTGAAAAAACTCCAGACAATCTGCTTGCTTTTCTGTTAAAGGATTAAAAAAATCCTCCTACTTTTTATGCTTTCACAGCTGACTGCACTCCAAGGGCAAACAAGCTAGAGCTCTTTCTTTTTTCTCTCATTGCTTCTCTTCTTTTGTAACTGAAAAATGCGATTGGAGTCTGAGAAGTCATTTGTTTGCATGGGTCAAGGCCTTGACCTGCCTATTCATGAAAACAAAAGCAATGACTTATCCAGGAGGCAAGAAAAGCTGAGACATTATAGCTGAGATTCAGAATGCTTAGTTATCCACGGCTCGTACAGGCCACTTCAAAGTGAATTCCAGACTGTTTTGTTTGCATAGATTGAAGCTATTTACATAAAGCCAAGGGATATTGCAAATATCCTTCACATTTGGATTACATACTGTTTATTTTGTGATAGTGTTTATCTTGTGCCTATGCCTTTATTATTTGTTGGTCATTTATGATTAAACACTGAAACTCAGTTACTCATTTAAAAAATAACATATTAAAGGTAAATTCCACTGATTTTTTTTCACAATTTCTGCATAAGTCAATCGTTGAGATGTAAACAAAGTAATTCAGAGTGGTTTGATGTAAAATGGTGCACTATAGAGAAACTTGCCAACTTAGATTTTCTTTACAGTAGTGGTAATAGAGGAGTTCCAACATTTACACAAATGTAGCATCTTTGTTTACTATCCAAAGCCTTTAGCGAATCTACACATATCTTTAGAGTTTTCATAAGTAAAGTTGATAATGGTAAAAAAATCATAGATGTGGGGAAAAAAAATTTTACTTTGGGGACTATTTTGCCTTGTAACACCCCGCATGTGGCTTTCCACCTTGGATAGAATTTAGTCTAAAACCTTCTCTAAATTATCTAAAAAATATTAAACAAGCTACTAAATATGAGTGTTCAAGGCAATATGATAAATCCACAGGACCTCATTGTCAGCCATTATTATCATTACAACCGTTACAGAACCATTCTACCCAGTTAGAAACTGCGTTTACATGGTAAAAACAAAAAACAAAACAAAACAAAAAAACTATTATTCAAGTATTCAGACCTTAGATATTTGCAAGGATTATATCATAAGCTATTTAAACCCAAAGCATTATTTGATATATTAATAAGCTAAATACCTATCCCAGCTGTCATTGGGCGGAAGGCAGGATACAGCTGGGATAGGCTCCAGCACCCCACCGCGACCCAGAAGGATAAGCGGTTTAGATGATGTATGTATGTATAAGCTAAATACATACAAAATCATCATTTATAGGATACATGCTATTGGGAGGTAGCTCTCTCAAAACACTACTGGTTTTGGTCCGTGGGCGGAGCTTTATTTTAGCCACACCCCTGCATTTTAGAGCAGAAAGTGAGACTGCATCCCTGTCCCTCATGGCCACATGGTGATCCCACTGTTTTGAGTAAGTGTGTCCCAAAGTCTGAAAATCAGTGTGTAACCTGATTATGTTTTGACATTTTCTGCAATTAAGTAAACTTTTTTGTTTTAATGAAAAATACTATGATTTTATGTATGTACAACTGTTCAAAGCTGTGTTTGGTGTAAAAGTCCAAAATTGGGTCCTAGTAAGCACTAGTTCCACCAAGACGGATGCCTTGTATGTACAGATGTCCTTGGCCAATAAAGTGATTCTGATTGTGATCAACTTAAGCTTTGTGTTTCAGACTGAAGAAGAGCATGAGTTGTGATCAACTTGATGAGGACGACACACAGGTAAGCCAGGCTGTCAAAGCCAAAGACATGGGCGAGTGAGAGAGTGAGTGTGTGAGTGAATGAAGGAGTGAGTTAGCGAGTGAAGGAGTGAAGGAGGGAGTGAATGATGGGCAGACACGAAGAAAGAACAGGAGAGAAAGGGCGAGAGGGAGGGCAGTGGAACTGGAGAGAAAGCAATCGAGCTAACAAGTGGCAGTAACCATGGCTACTGTGGAGAGCTTATAGACAAAAAAGCCTCAGATCTGTTCAAACGTGCACACTCACAAACACACATACACACACACAGCGAGATCAGGGCACCCTGACTAAAGAGTGGTTCTCTCTTAGTCATGCTGTTTTCAGCTGGTGTGGACTGCGAGCATGTGGGATGTGACTAATTCTCCTTCACATATTGGCTCATCAAAATTCATTCAGTGTTTTTGTGTCACCGGCCCATCACATGGAAATCTGGGGTGTGAGCAATATGGCCCTCACGGTCTGGAGAAGAAAGTTAAAGTGGAGAAGAAAAGGCATTTCGGCCACTTTTGAGTGTCAAATCAGGCCCGGTGAGGTTCTCAGAAAACAGCGCAAATGAGACTGAACAGAACGTTCTCTTTGTCACGTGACAACAAACACTGCATACTGTGAAGCTAATATTAAACACTTATCTTGTGTATGGAGAGAACACGAATACCCTCTTAAAAATAAAGGTGCCAAAAAGGGTTCTCCTTGCATGATGCCAGAGAAGAACCACTTTTGATTCCCTAAAGAACAGTTAAATGGGTGGTTGTAAGTGACATGTGTGAGTGGGCCTGTCACAATTATTACATAATTGCCTGATTACAATTATTTAAGATGACCACAATTATTTTCCACAGTCACACCTTTCAGAACTTTTTTATACATCTGCTCGATGTGTTAAGCAAAGCATTCACTTGTCCTGATATCTTGGCCCGCGAAATTATCTTAAAACTAGTCAAAATATCTACTAGTTCTTACTGAGATCATCTTAACAAGATTATAAGATTATTTTACCTACAGACATATTTTTTTAAGTCACTTTACAAGTGAAACTCATTGATAGAGAATTTAGCTTGTTTTGCTCCTAAAACAGATAAATTGTCTTTTAATATAGGGAGATATTAGTCATTATTCCAAATATTGACTAGACTGAAGACGATTTCACTTGCCAAGGTACTGTTTTTTTGCAGTGTAATTCCCACATATACACATGGATGCATCTTACACATCCTACAGTCTTAGCAAAAAGGTTATATGACTTGTAACAATAGTGGGACCCTTTTTAGTGCTATATAGAACCATTTTTAAAAAAGCATGCAACTATTTATGCATCCAAATGATTCTTTGAACGTTAATGGCTCTGTATATAACCATTGCCTTTACTGAAGAACCCTTGAAGAACCATTTTTAAGTGTGTTTGCTGCGCTTGAAGTCTGAAATAGTACAGGCTTGTGTGTTGTGTGCTTGCATTTGAGTAAAGTGCTTATGTTCAGGCATGCGGGAATGGTAGTGTTGTGGGTTTGTGTGGGTGCTTGTGGGTTTGTGCATGAAGATTTTGGAGATGCACTGAGATTCAATTCACAGCTCAAATTCCCCTGACCAACTAGAAGAAGAAAACTTGCACATTTCTGAGGGAAGTGGTTCATATAGCCAACATTACCAACATTGTCTCAACAAGTTTTCAGTGCGGAACTAACCTAACAACACTGAGCTTGTGAAAAACCTGTCGAGTTTGACCAGTCAGAAGCAACACCCACATGTGCTGTACATGACCTCACAACCACAACTAACTGACACTACATTTAATGTTCAAGCCTCAGGCAAGAAAAAAATGAATATGGTGGTCACTATGCATTACTGATTAGCATTGATTAGGATTAGCATTACTGAGTTAGGAGAAAAAACACACTAAAATATGATGTTCATGCTCTGCTACGAGTCAGCCTGTAAGTCTGAAACATTAATTTAAATTTTTTAAAGAGACCTTTTTGGACCAGGTCAGACATCTTCACATATCAATGTCACAGACTCCAAAAGAAGATCTGGCTCTATGTTTAGGTCTCAAATGCAACATTAACATTATACTGATGAAGATATGATGACAATAGTAGATCATTCATTTATATCCCCAGAAGACTCGTCCTTCACCAAGTTCTCTTTGAAAAGCTCTTTCAGTGCTTGCAATCCTCAGATTCATCCACTCATGAGGGTCTGAATCACAACCAATGTTGCAAAATGTTCTTATCGCATGTTGCATGCAATCACATTGTCACTAGAGAGGTCTCCTAATCATAAAACCTTCATAGTTTTAAGTTGCAATTACAATATTGGTCAGAAAAATTGTGCTTAGATATTTTCTGTAAATCATTCAGCCTTACTGTTTAGGTTGTTTTCATACTTCACCTCTTTGACTTCTTTTCCACTTTAGAGCCAAATAGTTCTCAGGGCTGTACTGTGCAGTTCTGCACTGGTGCATACTAATAAAACCGTTACAGTTTCTGTGCTGCTAAATCAGAACCAGGAAATACTGAAGACAACTACACACAAGAGTTGCTCAGCAATGGTTAACAGGCTAAATGCTACAGAACATGTTTGATTCTGGCTGTCACTCCAACACTAGTGACTCAATTTTGTACTCTTGGCATCTGTGGCCTCTAAATGCGTGTTACTTGAGCATCAGTTAGCTGGAACAGAGCATGTATTGGAATGGGTGGAACCTTTAACCTGCTAAGTAACATTACACTAGTGTTAGCCTAGCCCAGCAGGCTACAGCTCAAAACACAACAGAACAGGTTTGATTTTGGTTTTCTGTCACTCCAACAGCGGTCTCTCAACTTTGCTTTGTCAGACATTAGTGTCTACACTTGTAAGAGCAGAGAAAATGGAGCCTGTACTGTGATGTCCAGATCTGTAGGCAACCAGATAAGCTAACAGGCCTAGAGGAGCTGGTTAGCATTAGTCTAACTAGGAAGCTACAGATCTAAACAATTTAAGGAGCAGCCTTAATTTCAGCTTTCTGCTCCTCCAACACTCAACACTTCTGTTCCTCCAGTTCTCAGATTTGAGTCACTATCATCTAAAGCTTTTGTTAGTCACAACTAAGCCTGGTTTGTGTTAGAAAGAACTGGTAGCATGCTAAGCTAATACTAACCAACTCCACTCTACTAGCTAGCATCACTGCTTAACATTTGTTGCTAGCTTAATGCACAATTAATGTTTATTTAATACTTTCAACAGATCGAAAGATAAACATAAAATGTGGCAGAGAAAAAGACATTGCACATTTTATATTTTATATTTTATTTTTTCAATATTTTTCTCTGTCAAGGATGTGTTAACTCTTTTTCACTTAAAAATTGACAAAACAAGTCATTTTACTAGGGGTGTTCAAACTTTTGCATATGACAGTACATACATAAACAGACATGAAAAGGCTACATTCCGTCCTCTGTTTGTACAGTGCTCTCAGAACTGGCTATAGAAAAAAAAGCCTATAAACAAAATGTCTTGTTTTTAGCATGGTCTTACTCTGAAAATATATGCGAATCTAACCTTTAAGCAAGGCAGACTTGTTAAAAAAAATCCTTACAGAAACATAAACATGTGCATGCATGCAATTTCATGAGTGTAAATGTGAGAAATATGTATGAATCATATTGTGACATTAACGTAACGGCCACTTCACAACACAGTCCACAGGCAGCAGTGGGAATCTGGAGCAGGAGCAAAGGCTGAGGAAGAAGCAGGCGTGCACTCTGGCTGATATCAGAGCAATGAGTGGCCAGGTAATCTAGAACCTTCACACTACACCACCCGGCCTGTATTAAGACACTGTAGGGCCCTGAGCTATATCACAGTGCAGTCAAGTCAGCAGGAAACATACACAAGATCATTTAACATTGACATACATCAGAATAAAACAAACTAGGACTGCACAAGACATCATTTTGTGATTTTATTGCCATAGGCATTGATAAACCCTTGATAAGCTGCAACTGACATTTGTTAGATCATGTAAATGCCTTGATTCCTCCAAACACCCATAGGAATCTGTTTGACAAAATGCAGTAAAATGAACTGGATATTTAAGATACTGATATTTTGGCACAACAGCTCAGCGTCGCATAAATATTTTGCTCTTCTAGAGTACAATAGATACATCATCAAATCGAAACATCTGTCCAAATCTTAACAGTCAAATCTGTATAGTTATACCTAATAATGTCCAACAGTAGCTGGTTTATGTATAATTTTCAGTGTATTTTATGTAGTTTTGACAGAAATGAAGACTGAGATGGCTTTTTAGCTATATTGTATAATTAATTTTAAATTTTTATTCAGTTTTGTGTTCAGATAAGCTCAGAGAACATATGGAGCAAAGAAAAATTAGTTTGACAAAAAAAAAATTAACATGATTTATCACTTACCCCAGATGCAGTCAATCAGCCAGGACATGCTTGGTATCTGAAGTTTGCTTCTTATGTTTACAAAGTGTTTACAAAACAAACACTGTACCGCTTGTCATCAAACTCATCTCCGTAAATACTTGCCCATAAACATCTCTCAACCTTACTTTGGTCTAAAAAACATACAAAAAAACTGTCACATAGGTGAATGGTGGTGCAGCCACTGTGAGTAACCAGAACTGCTTTTACCTCAGCACAATGTGTGATATCATCCCACGCAAGACGACCAAACATGGGGCTACACAAATTCCTAAACACACAGATGCACTGTAAGGTAACTTGGCAGAGAAGCTAAGTGTATTTGGAAAATCAAAAAAGTTTTATTACACATTTCTATAACCTAAGAATAGCTTAACTAGTTTGCATTGTCCCTGTAGTTACTGCATGATAAGTCTCACTATGTAACAAGCCTGGAATTTTAAGAGGTTAAATGTATAAATAAGGTCTGTCTATGTGGTTCTAATAAATCGTTTTGTTTTAACTTGTTCAAGTAGCTTTTTGGTAGATTTTGGCATGTATTTACTCTGATGAGGTCGGTGACAGTCTTCTTAGCAACCTGGAACACATCAGATATCTAACATATCTTGGTCTATTGGCTGCATCTGGGGTAAGTGATAAATCATTTTAATTATGTTTTCCGGTGAACTATTCCAACCCAGCTGCAATATTGTAACAATATGGTAAAGCTAGCTGCAAAGCCAACTGGCTGATTTTTGTGATCAACAGCACATTATCAAAGCCTAAAGCCATTTTTTGCCAAAAATACAATGAGCGTTCTGGTGTGGTAAAAAGCTGGTCTGTTTCTGTGCCTTCAGAGGTCGTCTGTTCTTGAAAAGAGATAAAGCTCCATGGTCTTGTTAGTGCTCTTTTACTGAACAATTTGCTTAGTCTTTAACTTAATGGCTCATTCTTTAACAAGATTCCACGCATCACCCCTAAACTCAGACCTGGATCATCCCATGGCTTTTATGGGTGCATGTCCAGGGATCCAAGCCACTTGGGGCCCCAACATGAGCAATTATGACAAAGTCTAAACAGTGTTTAATTAACTCTGACGCTGCTCATTTAAGTCCAGCTGGACACAAATAAACCCAGCAGGTGTTAATTCAGTGCTAGTTAATTCAGTGGAGATTTTACTGTGCACCTCCTCTCCATGCCCTTTAATAATCTTCATAAAATATGAGGTGCACCAGCAGAGTTAAAGTGAATCACATGCAGCGTTCTTTTGTAAGTGAATGTATTCATAAGTGCGGCTTGACTGTGTTGACTGCTCTACACAATGTTCTCCCGGTTGATTTGGAGGCCAGGATGTGTCTCGACAGGTTCAGGTTTTGTCCTTGTTATTTCACTGAGAAAATTATGATCCAACGTGAGATTTTAAAGAATATGTCAATACAATGTAATTCACGTCAAATAACATCTTATGTCATCTTGCAAATAATAGTAGGAGCTGTTCATAAATACTTAAATATTGCCTTACAAATATATTATTCAGTGCTTATGTATGTGTTATGAAGTTACTATGAAGACAGCCTACAAATAAAATGTGATGAAATCTATCTATCCTTCCATCCATCCATCCATCCATCCATCCATCAAAATATACCTAAATTGTTTGTACACAGATGTTTTATGTTAGCATTTTTTTCTGGATTGAAAAGTTACACTGAAAATTAAACATGCCATCAAAAATCATGATGGGCAGCATATGTGTCGTGAAGCTAAAGATCTGTGAGTAAACGTAAACCTCTCACTTTATCAACTCTGTGCTTCCTCAGTTGCATCAGGAAGCCATGTCGGATCATGCTAAGAGGATGTGGTCGTTGCCCTGTGACCTCCGGGAGGCTGTCAATGCCTGCGTTAGCCCTCACTTCCCTGAGCAGGTGGAAAAGACTGGGGAATCCAGGCCGGAGCACGGCGGCCATGGAGCACACTATGGCCACGTTTTCCTGGGCTGAGATCTGCTCTGCTCCTTCAACTGGCTGAAATTCTCCAGAACACTGCACTATATAAAACGATAAGTCAGCTCAACTTATCATTATAAGGTAACTTGGCTTTTTATATGGCTTTTTGAGTTAATTCAACTTGAGAATGCTTAAGTTCTCCCAAATTAAACTTTTAGCCAAAACTCCCTTCTTTAGTTCTGCATCTCAGTTAGGTAAACAATATAGAATAAACAATATAGAACTTTTTTTTACTTAATTTCCCCACCTATCTGGGACTTACACTATTCAATCAGTCATTTTCTCCTCTTGAGCTTCCAGATATAGGCTTCAATCTCACAACCTCTTGATGTTGGGATGAATTATTAAACAGTTGCATCACATATTACCATGCTACTTCTCAAAGTTAAAACAACAAATATTTTCTACAGTGTATTAAATATTTATTGACACAAAAATCTTTAAGTGTTCCTGGGTGGTGCAACAACAGGAGATTGTGAGTTTGATGCATAGTGATGCCACAGCCATCCATAAGTGAGTACCCAAGAGGAGGAACATCCTAGTGGAAAAATTGAACAACAATTTCAAATATTCAAATATTATTTACTTCAATGAGATGCAGAACTAAAAAAGTTTGACTAAGGTAAGAAGTAAGAAGAACCATGTAATCAGTTACCTTATAATTTTAAGTTGAGCTGACTTTCATTTTTAAACTTATTCTTAAGTTTCACTTTACTTGGCAAGCATTGAATGTGTTAAAGAGATAGTTTGATCAATTTAAAAAAAAATCAATTTACACAAATTCCCCCTCACCCCAGATGTAATCCATCAGCCAAGACATGTTTGATGTCTTTCACTTGCTTCTTTAGTTTTGCAGTGGAGCTAATGCATGCCTAATGTAGCTAACAAGTACTGGAATTTTATCACCATAAACCCTCACACATTTGCCTCAAACCCTGACAAGTTCATAAGTAATCTCAAATAGACGTGTTTATATTTTTTCTGACCTTATATGTTATACTGTTTTCTAAGAAATGGCCAAAAGTTTATCACAGAGGATTTCGAATCTGGACATTAAACTGGTTAGTGAGACAGGAAGTGGCCAAATAGTTACATTAACAGGTCAGCTAACTACCAGTGATTAAAAAATACAGAACCAGAAACTAGATTCATGGTCCATATTTGAAGATCTCTGGTATTTTATGTAACTAAAACAGTACTGACATTCATACTGAAGCCTGAATTTGGTCATGCATTTGTTAAACATATGTAGTGTGCCATAACTTTTGCACAGGCCACATTTTATGTTTTATTTTTCCCCCAATGTGTTAAATTCAGCAAATAAAGAGTAATTGTGTAAAAAAAATTGGTAATTTGACCAGGAGTGCCCAAAGGTTTTCATATGACTGTAAGTTTAGGGTAAGAGGAAACTGTGTAAATTAGATTTTTGGTCCAGCCATCGCTTTAATACGGTCTTGGAGGGAAATGTTCTATTAACAATGTGCCAGAATTTCTTCTCAGACATTTGTTGTGGCAGACACTGTTTGCTTTGGATGCAGGGGCTCCAAGATTTGTGACAGCAGAGTCGATGTAACACAGAGTCAAACACTAAACCTAACACTAAACTAACACTAAGCTCAGTTGTGTTTTTAGCACCTAGGGAGAGATTGTTACAGAGACATACACTCATTATCCACTTATTAGAAATCTTAGTAAGTATGTTGTAGTTCTTTTCACTAGTCACTTTATGACATCCATCTACCTTATAGGTCAATGATAAATGTGTGCAGTTAGTAATCGAGTAAACTGTTTTTACAATTTTGTGACAATATTTTGACAATTAATTTGACACTTGATTTTTAAGGCCAGATTCTTCAGTCACTTAGTAATTCTGCTGATAGTTCATCTAACAGCTCTTGAAGTTCTCACCAACAGGAGAGATCACTTAGCTGTATATATCTAGATTCCACACAGAAAAACAAGTCCTGATAGGCCAACTTTCCATTGGACGGTTCAAGAATTTAACTTTTTGTTTCCATCCAAAATTTTTTTTAACAATGAAACAAGAGTCATACTGTTATACTGATGAGTTTAAATGACTGAGTTTAGATACAGGCATGATTTTATTAAATATAAGTCAACAAAAATGACAGAAATGTTTGTTTTTTTTTAGCTGCGAGAGATCATGAGTCCCTCTCTGAAGGCCTAGAAAGCCTTGAAAGTTCCCCTCTGCATCTCCTGTGCCTAAAACCACATACTACTATACTATACTTACTATACTAATGCATACTGCTAATGGTGCTGTACTATTATTTATGTTCTATTTAGTATGGAAGTAGGTGGTTTTGGATTGGAGTCTGACAGCTCCAGGGCTCTCTGGAGCTATGGGGTAGGTGTTTCTAATAAACTGGCCAGTGCGTATAATCAAATCAAATCAAATCAAATTTATTTGTATAGCGCTTTTTACAACTGATGTTGTCACAAAGCAGCTTCACAGAAATCCGTTTAGAACAAAGTTTCAACATGAAATGTAAATCCTCCGGGTGAGCAAGCCAGGGGCGACAGTGGCAAGGAAAAACTCCCTCAGAGCTGAGGAAGGAACCTTGGGAGGAACCAAGGCTCACATGGGGGGACCCATCCTCCTCTGGTCAAACTACGTACAAAATTATTATTCTACTAATATCAATAATAGTAGTAGTAATAGTTAGGAGGTAGTAATAGTTAGGAGACTTCAGTGTAGAGTGGGCAGCCAGTCCAAGGCAGGTGGCGGTGACTGGGTTGTGGGTAACTGGTCTGAAGCGGGTAGCCGGAGAGCTCTACAAACAATCATCCAGCAGTGTCCGGCCGGACAGGTGGGCAGTCGTTTTCTCGGAATAATCAAATGTTCTCCATTTTTAATATATATTGTGTTTCTCATTGAGTAATGAATAAAACTGAATTTAGCAGAAAGAACACAGAAAATGCATTTAATTGCACTATTTCACTTTGTGCTCATGTAAAATGTAAAAATATCAGGTTTACAATTAAGGCAACTATGTATATCGTATTTATTTTAACGCAGTTTGAAAATAAAGTGATTGTGAAAGTGAAATCTGTGTATGTGCTGGCAGTAGTGTGGTAAAGACTAAAGGATATGGTCTACGTATGATTTTTATGTAAGAGTTATGAGAGCGGGTGAGAGATTAAAGTTGCCAACCCGACTGAATGATGGAAAACATTCTCAGAAGTGAATGCATATTACTGTAATCCTTAATGCCTCCATCTGCTCACACACTTCACACTCAACAAATGGCCCAAACTATTATGGGTAATAGTCAAAGTGAAGGAGGAGCCTGCAGCGCTGATAGCGCTTTCACAGAACACTTACTGAGTGCAGACACTCTGTTAGTTCATCACAGTTCAAACTGGACTCACTCTGTGAAAACATTCCAGACACCTACACATGTTTCTCAAAGGTCTCAGTCTCTCAACTGTGCAATTATCAATCCATTTGGTTAAGAGTGGATTCCAGATGCAATGTGGCTAGTGTATTATGAGCTACAAAGTTGACCAAGTGACAGTGAAAAGTTTCAGTCCGGGATGCTTTATGAATATTAAACACGTTTTCACATGCTATTCTGATTCTAATGCTGCTAATCAAAGTCACAGTCTGGCAAAAAAATCCAATTTCCCCATGTTTATCCTTAATCCAAATGTAGTTGATCAGACAAAACATGCTTGATGTCTGATGTTTGCTTCTTTAAGTGTTTTTTCGTCTTTGTTCTTCTTATATAATACAATGAGAAATGTTGCTTGATGTTCAGGTTTCAGATGACACCTTTTTAAAAACAAATTGTGTCACGTTTTGTGCTTAAAAAGAAGCAGAACACACTTCTTAGGGGATGGGATAACACATTTGATCATCAAGTAGGTAAACATGAATGTGAAACATGAATCTTTTGAAAGTGACATATACATTATAGAAAAGTTTGAATGCCCCTGTCAAATTACATATTTTGTTGATTTTCTAAGTGAAAATAAGTTAACACATCCTCTACAGAGAACATAATTAAATATGGTATTTTTCTGTATAGTTTCTTTTTGGTTTACTGAGTTTAACATAATGGAAAAAATAAAACATAACATTTTATGTAGCAACATAGCAAAACATAGCACATAGCAACATTTTATGCTTTGTTTTCTATGTTAAATCCAGTAAATAAACAGTAATTGTGTATTAAAATGCGCACAGCTGTGTTCTCTGTAGAGGATGCACAACTGATTTTGACTTAGAAAATTTACAGAACATAATTTGTCCAGGGGTGCCCAAACTTTTGCATACAAATGTATAATTTTCAATAGAAAATGTAGCTCTTTCTATAGCATGCGTGATAAGTGACTTGGAATCCTCAGTTTGATTGGTCAGGTCTGGATGTGCTTTTTGTGGGACCTCAGCAACATGTGGGTTAAAAACTTTACCTGTGGTTTTGTATCATTTCAGGCAAACAACATGTCTAAATCATCACATACTTGCCTGAAACCATGTCAAGTTATATAACCTTAAATAGAGTTGCTTGTGTAGTTTATCACAGTGTATGGCACTGTTATCTATAAAAATGGACAAATGAATGGAAAAAATTCAGACTTAAGCTATTAAATTAGCCATCTTGTTATTACAGCTATTGAGCTATGTATGGTCTTGGATGTTGTAACATAATGAACATTAACAGAAATTTAAGTAAAGATACTTAACATTACAAATATACTAAAAGCATTCAAAATAATGCCAGAGTAAAATTAGATAGCATATTTGTGCAAGTAGATAAGACTTTTAGTTGTGTTGCCTTGTGCTAGCTAGGCTAGTGTTGCTAATAGCTAGTCACAGAATGTTTACTACTTCAGACTAGACTGCACCACTGCTTATGTGCATGTCTGCATAGAGATTGTTGTTTGAGATTAACAACTTTATACAGTTTAAAGTGAGTGTGTAATGATTCAGCAAGCAGTCAAATGACATATTCTTCTGATTTTGAAAAATACATTAGCACATCTTCTGCATGGAACAAACTTAAATATGACATGTTTTTGCAAATTTTACTGCAGAATTTCCATTT